CGACGGGGAAGCCTCGCCCGTATGTGACTCGAGCGTATAGAAAATTTGTATTTGACCGGCTACATAACCTGAGTCATCCCGGTGCAAACGCTACCGCGCGTCTCGTGGCTGAACGCTATGTTTGGCCCGGCGTGCAACGAGACTGCCGTGCATGGGCGCGCCAATGTCTGCCCTGTCAGCGCAGTAAAGTCACGCGCCATGTCAATGCACCGCTCGCTAACTTTACCACGCCTACCGGGCGACTCAGGCACGTTCATATCGACATTATTGGACCTCTTCCCATCTCGGAAGGCTATAGCTACTGCCTCACTGCAATAGATAGGTTTTCGAGATGGCCGGAAGTCTGGCCCATGAAAACAATAACCGCTGAAGAGGTTGCCCTCAGGTTCGTGTGCGGCTGGGTATCACGTTACGGTGTCCCATGCACTATTACCACTGATCAAGGTCGACAGTTTGAGTCCGCACATACCTATTGTAAAAAGAATATAATTTCGATCATTACACCATAAAAAGTGACATCGCAACTATGACATGACATGCTAAATCCTAACTTCTTTGGAACGTAACTTATTCAAACAAACCATAATGAATATACAGAGAGTTTCATTTCCTTTCACAATTACTTAAGCCACATATTCTACCCTTAATTTCTAGGCGATTTGCAAAATATGAACAAAATATATCCAGTAGTTTAGCCACAGGAGTCATTTTTGTGTTTCGTAAATTGCAACATCATGTGTACATGCAGTCATAATACATTGACCTCAGGCGGCGATCAGCTGTAGGTATAGATCAGCGGCGCGGTAATCACACGTTGCCGCTTTTACTACACCCGAATCGAACGAAATATGTTGATTATTACGTCATCACGATGCAACATCATCATCATCATCATCATCAGCCTATCGCAGTCCACTGCTGGACATAGGCCTCTCCCATTGCACGCCACTTAGATCGATTTTGGGCTTCTCGCATCCAGCAACACGCGTTTTTAATTAGTTCATCCAGTAAGGACAGTCAGTCGGCCCTTGGCCACCGGCGAGCTTATGCTATTCCGTATCCTTGTAGATGCGCTCACGACAAATAACCGTAATAATAATATTGTTGTTGTTTATGAGATACATATTTGTTTAGAGAAGTTTTCTTGTGGTAATAATTGTTTAGTCTTATTGCTTTCGTCATAATACACGGCAATGGTGTGAACAATTAATGTTATCGTGTGCGCAAGACTTCGTAATGTAAGGAGTCCTGCTAATTTTATTTTGAAAAGTCACTATTAGGTTCTGTGTGTAGTGTAGTGTGAAACTGAGTGCATTATCAGTCTTTTAATTTTACTGGGTTATCGATATCAACATCCATAATGCCGTGAGTGACCTTCACAGCCGCGGAATATCCTGCTATGATGTTAATTTATGGAAAACTCTATCAAAACGCATCTTTTGCTTTACGGACACGTATGGAGTCAATCGTGTATGTCCTACAGACTGCCGAATTTTTGTAAGGGCGGTACAAAGATTACGAGACAACCAAGGTAACTACTTTTTCAAGGAGTGACGCGTACTGCTGGGTCGGAAGCTAGTCGAGCATTCACGAAATAAACACGTGAATAAAATCGCATTCTTTATAAATAGATTTTTAAAAGCAAGTGAAGTGATTGGTAGGTAGGTAATAAGAATGTAAACGACGCCGCCGCCGCGGCTGCGGCGGCGGCGTCGTTTTGATGTCGCCGACATTGCGACGCTGCCGTGTAGGTACAGTTCACCGACTCATGTTATCAATGGTGTTCTAATTCGGAAATTATTTTATTGTATTTAGTTTGTTCTAAATTTGCATTTCTGTATTTTCGTACTAATTTTTTATTTTTTTATTTTAACCGACGTATATTGAACCGTGTTATCTGTTATTTCATTTTTTGTGATATCTATACCGCCACAGTGTATATTTAAACTAGCTGAGACCCGCGGTGTTACCCGCGTTTGTTGTTATAACCGCGGGCTGCGCCGCGGGGCGAAGCTAGTCTAAAAAAGTAGCCTAAGTTACTCCTTATGTCATCAGCTATCTGCCAGTGAAAGTTCCATCGAAATCGGCCCATCCGTGCCAGAGTTTACCCGGAACAAACAGACAGACAGACAGACAAAAATTGTAAAAATGTTATTTTGGCATATGTACCGTGTAAACATACATATGCATTTAGTAAAAAGCGGTTTTTTAATATTACAAACAGACACTCCAATTTTATTTATTTGTATAGATAAATACCATGATTAATGTATTCGTGCAGAGTGTGGAATTGAATTTATATCGATACCTACTCCTGTTATTTGACTCGTGAATACCTGTAATTGACTTCTGTTATCTATTGTTATGCCTGAATTGGTGACTCGTAGCTGTTGGTTTTCCTAAATAAATTAAAAATACATGTACACATGTATTATTAATTTATATAGATATTAAAACAACAAAAACATTAAATTGATGAAGGAGGAGGACAATTATTGTGTATACCTATGTAATTTATCGAAATTTTATACACTCAATATACTAACTACTCGATACTACTCAATATAATAGGCCTACCTATTGCAAAATAAACTATTGCATTAGCGGACCTAGTTAACTGTAGGTACACTACTCGTACTATGAAAAATTTCTTTACCTAAGTATTTGTGATTGCTGGCTGGTTAGACTTTATATTTTAATAAATTAATTTTAAAGCTATCTAAATCTACCTAATTATAATCTTCTCCCATTTAAACGTTGACAGATTGAGATCAGATCTGGTATTGTATTTGTAACTAAAATCTAGTCAATAAATATGATTTATAATAAAACATTACTCTTAAACTAAACGTTTTCATTGCTTCCTATTTATACATTTGCTACCTTTATCTTGAAAAAAGCTTTTCTAGGTATCCTGTTTAAAAAAAAAACTATTAAATTCCTAGGTGCATATATATCAGGAGGACGGTCGTGTCACCTACCGACTGATGGAGAGCCATGATACTCACGCGAGGAGACAGCACAATGCCAGCACTGACTACCCAGCAAACGCTGGAGCATTGCCCAGCGTGGGCGTCTGAACACGAGGTTATAGTCGACGCAATCGGACGAGACCTGTTCCCGCCAACAATCATTACTGCCATGCTGGCGGGTCAGAAGAGATAAGGCGCAGTGGTGTCTTTCTGTGAAGATGTAATACTCCACAAAGATGCTGCGGCGATATCAGCCGCCGACGAGGCCGCAGGCTACGAAAGTGTGGGGACCTTTGGTGGCAGTTTAAAGGAACTGCAATAGGGGATAGGCTACCTGATCGCATTAAGGCGCGATCGGATCGCCAACGTCGTTATTGAAGCGATTGGTGGAAGTTTGCAGCTTCCCCCGGAATAGGGCCTGGCTCGGCTTGGTGTCGAGTCTGAGAGGATCTGAAATCATATAGTGGACCTTATGATTTCAGATCCCCTGGTCCTGGATGTCCTCCCCCAGAGTAGGGCGCCTGAGGCCAGCGGTCAGGGTGGTTTTCATTGGAAACACCATATAACACTAGGAAATTTATTAATTTTCTCTTATCTTTGTTATTAGTTTAATTTTAAAGGTACCTTTTCCTACCTACGACTTACATCTGTAAAAGATGGCGGTGAGGAAATAAAATACATAGTGACATGATAGCAAATTTATTTAACCTAATACGGTAGACATAATACAATGTAATCCAAATGTATTCGGTATACAACGAACCAATACATGGAAATTATACTTCTGTGTAACTAAACAAGACGATTATAACTAGTGATGGACACTTTATAGCTAGTGAAATAAAGCTAACCATTTTTTTGTTTATTTTTGTACACCAAAGGCTCTTTAGTATTACAACACTATATATTATTTCTATAAATAATATTGCCAATCTCCAGTTCACTCCTGTAAATGAAGAAACATATTGTTTAAACTAGTAACTAATTTACATATATTGTTTTGATTATCTTTCGCTCTTCAACGTAACAAACGGTGCAATTCATATTTTATACATTTTTGTTAACCCATCAACACATCTTCACAAATATACCCAAGGTAGTAACACACAATAAATACAAACAATTTCCTCAAAGAAATTGTAGAATGATTAAGACATTAAAATAATGAGATTTATAATGCATTACATGTCGAAATATAAATGGCGAACCACACAACTGAGTGCCTAAATATGTTTTAATGAATAATTTTAACAATTCCAATTATATTGCTCAAGGTTATAAACCATAACTTTTGTTTCCAATAGTTTAATATGTGAAATAATCCACCTAGTACTTTCAACGTTCCATTTAAAAAAAAAACGAACATTATTTAAAAAAATATATAATCTGTGGAATGCTGTGCTCTTTTAATCTGTTGTCTCAATTTGCATTTTTTTTTTATATCTCAGAAGATTATTGCAAATTGTGAATTCGGACACTGATATTTACTATAATCACAACTGCAATAACATCCGGGGCGCAGAACTTTAAAACGAATCGCTTGTTACTAGTGATGACACTGGCCTATCGACAAATCCAATATCTCATATTGTCAACTTTGGAACGCACACTGCAACACACAAACCGATTGATTACACATATCTGCTTTTCCTGTTTGGAGTTACATAAAAATCGATATACGTATATCCACCTAAATTATTATGATATTAAACGTCACATAAATGTACATTTACCGTCTCTTAGGATTAGCACTGTCGTTCGTGACGACATGGACCTAAGAAAAAGGTTATAGTGTTGCAAATTATGAAGACGTACAATATTATTTGTTAGTCGGGACACCACACAAGGTCAGTGCGTTTGTGAATTAGTAATCACACGTAATACACTACACGACCACAAACAACGTGTTTTTTTTTCAAGAAAAAAAATGAACCTCCTTCAAAAGCAGGTTTCCATAGGCCAATACACTGTCACACAAGGATGTTGGTTTTAAAGTTCGAAGCTCGCATTTCGTTTGTGTATTGTCTATTATGTGTTTCGAATTTTCCCGGGTACGTAGTTTTTGTCTATGGTCGGCTCTTGGAGGAACATGTGAAGGCACCGCTCGTTTTGCGCCAGGGGGTGGCCCGCTATCTTATTGATGAATACTTCAAGACCTGCAAGAGATATGTTACGTTAGTGATATGTAGACAAAGCAATATTCAGATAAAAATTACTGCGGTCTTTTTTTATGATAGAGGGATGATTGATTGAAAGTGACCATCGCCGCTCATAAACGTCTGTAACTCAAGAGTCACAAACCCGTTGCGGACATTTTAGGAAGGAGTACGCTCTTGGTCTGTGTTATCTATCGAAAACATGGCGGAGAGTAACCAAATATTTCCACCAACCACCACTTCTGTATTTCTACCAAAATAGCACTATTAGGTATAGTATATTGGCACAAAATGGAGCGCTACAAAATGGCGGAGTATTAGTGGCGCTGCTAGTGCTTCTTTTTGTTTTGCTATTGCAAAAAAAATGTGCCATTTTGGTAGAAATACAGAAGCGGTCCAATTTAAGCGTCGGTTTAATATTGGTAACTCTCCCTTAATAACGTCACACGTTTGTAAATAAATATTTACTTATGATCACAAAAATGGTATACTTCTTAATATTTTTGTGATGTCACAAGTCAGTAGTAGGGCTATAAATATAGCGGGCGAAGTGGCTTATTTTTGCTTACAGGATTGCTAAAGAATCTTCTCGTTTACAAAACACAATAATGTGTTACCAACAGACTTATCGAACATATAAGAGTACATATGATAAGGTTACAAAGTACAATAAACTTCACGTAGCCTATTCTATTATTTTGACTGTCATGAATAAAAAACTGAAAGCAAATGGCCATTCAAAATTTGATCTTTTTTAAAAATACAACTCCCGCTCTAGGAATATATTCCTGTGTCGCGGGGGACTTAACAAACATTCATGAAACGGACTCATAGAACACCCAGACTCAGACCAACAATTTGTAGATCACACAGTGTTGTCCCAAGTGGAGATCGAACCCGAAACTGAGTGTTGTGCTCAGCGCAGTAGGAAGCAGCGAGGTGACCGCTTAACCACTACACCATCCGTGCAGCAATAGGTAATAAACATGGTATCGTACCATATTTGAGTAGGTTTAGGCGAAAAACGAAAAATAAAGTGTGAATGAGAAAACCACCTAAAAAATAAACCACGACTATAATGGTCTGTAACGTACCTATTTCAAAATAATGAAACAGTGCTTTTTATTCCTAAATGATAATCTTAGCCAAATAGTTACAAAAAATCTTGTATTACCGTAATCAACCATTATTTTGCTGTCATCTAATATTGTTTAGAATCTGTGAAATATTTCTTTTGACTAGTTACTGTTCTACTTTAATAATTGTTGTTGACCAGAAGCAGATAAAGATTTAAAATCAGGGGGTCATTATTGTGTAGTTATTATTGGCTTAGGACAACTACTAATTCCAGTTATTTTATCAATTAGGCCGGAGGATTGAGGGACCTGTTCGCCGATAGTCCCAAATGTCAACGAATGTTATCAAAGCAATTTGAGTTATATTATTTATGTATTAAGTCGCCAGTTACCTTTGACAGACCCTAACAAAGAATTTCTTAACGAGGCCTTGCGCATATTTGCGATATCTTCGAATAAAATATGTCAGATACGCGGTACATATTGAGAAACGCGTCGAAGCGCTTTCAATAAATTCGTTGAATTCCAGTCTGTACTTATTTATTTAACGCTTGTTAGATAATGTATCATTTGTTTATAAACAATTTTACAGAAAAGTGTGGTGTCTTTTTTTTGGTATCTTAGGAGATAAAAACGTCAGTGTGTGTAGATATGTCAATAAAGCGAAGCGCTATTTTTGGAATATTCATAATTTTAAAGCAGATATTTTTAACTTGACAAGTTACTTTTAAAAACCTACTCAGAGGTTGGACACAAAACTAGAGAGGTAGTTTATATGATTGACTTTAGCCAAAAACGGACTACAGACAGAAGCACATAGAGGGCTAACGGTTTTTACACGCTTTATATTAGCTTCAGTTGTATGTTTGTTTGTATGTTTGTAACCGACTCCTTTGGGCGTCATTTTGACTGACTTTAAACGGTCAGAATTCGTTCAAACTTAGTATATATATCGAGGACCGATGACAATCCACTAATTAAAAAAAAAATAGTTTTAAAAAACTAAAAAACATGCTTTCTATAGAAAACCAAACTAAAAAATAGAAAATAAATTTGAAAAAAAGCGTGGACGGCTTTTTACTATTGACAACAGGCACGCAACGCTTTTTTCAAATTTATTTTCTATTTTTTAGTTTGGTTTGATTTTTTTTAATTTTTAGTTTCAAAGCGTGTTTTATAGTTTTTTTAAACTATATTTTTTTAGCAACGACTTTATAGGTATATCTAAATAAAATTAATGAAGAAAGTTTATACACAAATTACGTGAAAAATACTTCTAACGGTAAGTATTTTTTTAATAATAGCTCAAATAAGTACAATATTTGTATATTTACTTTCCTTCGTGATAACAAATGTATTCAGAAGTCATTGGCTTTTGCACAAATTTATAAACATACAGAGTCAACATCATATTGTGCAAGTAAATATGTTTACGAAAAACGGCCAAGGTCATCATAATACTGTTTGAACATCGCTTATCTATGTTCATACAGCGAAAGTATTTTAAAGTTAAATGAAAAAAGGTGGGATAATAATAACTCGTTAAAAGCGAACGCACGCGTACGGGGGGCGGAGTGGTTTATGACGTCAGTGTACACGTCATGTTACAAGCGATGCAGGTTTTCGCACTTCGTGAGAACGTGATCTCAAAGGCGCACGTTAATAAGGCCTAAAATGTCACACAAGGGAGGTAAAGCCCTCTGCTACAAATGCAGAATATTGAAATTTCAAAGAATATATGAAAAAGCAGTCTGTTTTTCTGATCACTTTTTTTATTCGATTTAGTGAAAACAAATTAAGGTCAATTAGTAGTTTCATACACATACAAGTTAGAAGTGCAGTTTTATTTAATTTTTCAAAGAACATCGGGAATTTTCAGACCAAGGTTTTACATTTATTAGTAATCTGACTGCACCTAGACCACTAGATTATCTTAAGGTCAAAAGCCACAAAGGCAATTTTGATTTTCATCGAGTGCGTGAGGTTACCGGGTTCAACCAATGATATCTTAAGGAAGATACGTTATATTCATACTGCACGCCTTAAATATTTATTCCGTAACCACTATATATACATCTATTAATGCATTTTGGAACAAATCATATGCTACAAGTGCGGATAGGAAAAGGACGCTTTTTGTGGTCCTAATTAGGACCCTCACGTTTTGTGCGTTGGTGGCGTATCTATCTCTTGTATGTAGGTACATAATATCATTGGGTTCAACCCTTTCTTGAGTTGCAGGTGTCCATGGGTGCGGTAGTCATTACCAGGTGACACATCTATTCGTTTGTTCCCTATGTTATAAAAAAAAGACTCGAGAGTCGCTATTTGTACCTACAAGTGACAGTAACATATGGACTTCTGAGGGCCTCGATCCTCACGGCGATCGCGTTGGGCGTTGCGATTAGCCCGCATTGAAAACTTCACCTAGCCCTCTAAATCTCTTAAATTTGATGTACTGCTGTATGGCTTCAGTTGTACAGTAGTGTTTAATGTTACCTTCACAGTATTGAAATTAAAATACTAAATTGCTGTTCTCCTACGCAGCAAGCGATTAATTTACGCCTCTAATACGTATACAGACGTGTGGAGAATACCGTTCATGTGCTGAAGCTGCGCAATTTTTTGCTACAGAATTACAATCGAGGTATCTATAGAATTCAATTAAAAACAAATCGCCAAGGCGAATGTTTCCAAAAAAAACTTGCTGAAGAGGTCGATTGTAGTTGGTGCTCGTGTATATTTTACCTTATGGATATATTTAAAATCAATCTTAGTTGTAGATTTCATTGAAAATTGGAATTCAAAATGGTATGCGTTCGGCACTTAAATATATTAAAATTAATTAAAAACCAATAATATAATAATTAACGCCTGCGAAATCTGTGGGTGGCGTGTATCAAAACTAGACTCTCTGCGAGTATCGACACATGCGACTGCCTTGTTCCCTGACAGTTGATAGGTAACTTTTGATTACGACCTGACGTCTTTCCGCTATTGCGTTTCCTAACAAGTGAGCTATTTCCGCCTCGTCAGAACATTCAGTTAGTGTCACTTTAGGCCTAGTCAAGATAATTACCGTTACGTTCTTGGGCGATCGAGTTCTGTTCGCCGCTTTTTTCATTTGATGTCTGTGTGTTTAAAACTTCGACCAATATTGATAAAATTTTGTGTAAAGGTTGCTGACACCCTGGATTAACACATAGGCTACTATTGATCCCGTAAAATTAGTGTTCCCGGGATAATTAACCACGGAGTGCAGTTATATATTATTTTTTTTGTAAACGGGAGTCAAGGCTTTAAGCTGAAAACCAGCGCTTGGTAATCCATGTGAAGTCCAAGCATAAGCTGACGCTTAGACCTTTTGCTTTCGGTATTAAAGTTTTTCTGTATATTTCTACAAAAGTGTTGTAATGCTGAAATCAATAAACTGGTAGATATTCTATTCTATTCAGTTAGTAAGTGTATATGTTTAGCTAAACTTTATTTTAATACAAGCCTTAAGCCTCTTTAGAGATCCGCTAATTCATTAAAAGATAGTAATACATTTTAAACTGCAGTCAACATAAGAGATCTTAGGCAGTCAGTGTCATGAGAAAACACTTATATGTGTCCGGTTACGTAAAATACAATTTATTATGTATATACATATAAGCGTATTTGCATTAAGTTGTACTAAGTTTTAATGTAAGTGGTGATATTATATCAGTGATTAGTAAATTATGCAAAATTGTGTGAATGTATGCACCTCGTTGTTTATAATCGTTTAAAATATCACAAATATGAGTCACCTGTCTTGCGGTATAAATCGTTATCGATACAAAAGCAAACAATTTATTAATATATGCTTCTTGCTCTTCTTTTGGGCAAGAACAAAACAATATATGGACTGGCCACTCTAGTCAGTTTGAGACCCTGACTTCTGTGCCATAGGATGTGGGGGGCAATTCCCACCAACGATAAATAATTGTGTGACCGTTATGATATTTTCTTCTAGGTCTGGGTCTAAATTATCTATAATATGTAAGTATTTCAAAATATATTATACGCATGTTTATCAGGACTCCGTTTGTTTTCCGTATGATGACGGTTTAAGAATACGGAGTGTCACCACCGCTATTCATCCCGTGGGTGTCGTAAGATCTGACTAAGGGAGCTAACTATGCAGGACAACAGCACTGCAGAGAGAAGGAAAACTTGACACAAACCCTATACCAACCCGTCTGGCCAGCGTGGTATAGTAGGCCAAAGCCTCCTTTCCAAGGAGAGGCCTATGTCCAGCAGTGGACTATTAAAGGCTGTTGATGATGATGATGATATCAGGACTCTGTTTAACATAGTACAGGGCGTCTAGTTTAGTAGTAGCCAAGTGCCTTGTTATTCCATAATGTCTACCTTTTCAAACCCACGACCTTTGGTTTCGGAGTCGGGACCGTTAACTACTAACTAACACCACCAACCATCAAAACAAATTCTATAGCATTTCCCTATTGACGGATATTATTGAACAAATTTTAACAGCACAGCGATTTCCCTTCGTAATATCAAACTCCATTTTTAAAAGCCCCCAAAAACCAATTAAATAATCGTCCTCGTGCAATTCGCACCGTGGTGCCACCGGGTCCTTTTCTGAAATAACCGTTTTAATATGATTATGACCCCAAACACCAGTCACATAATGTCACACTTCATTGATCTCCATTCCCCCTTGGTGTGTAACGTAATTTATTGATAGCCTAGGGGCCTCCATAGGACACTGCTATAGCAGAACCTCTTCGAAACAAACATAAAATGTATCTTCTGTTTTTTTATCCTACTACTCTGCTTTGATTATAATAATAACAATAAAAACACATCTCACACACGGCCGTCTGAACCTAAACTAGGCAGAGCGTGAGCGGTAACCAGACAGCCTGATAAACATACTTATAAAGTACTAAATATATACATATTATAGTTTACATTAGATTATATTAAATTACACCCAGACACAATGATCGTGCTCATCACACAATATTTGTCCTGGGTGGGAATCGAACCTACGACCTCTGGCTTAGCAGTCAGGGTCACTAACAACTAAACCAACAGGCCCTTCAAATTTATGAGATCGAAAGTAGATAGGAACTGAATTTTGAACGAATTTTTATGACGAGAATTTTGAACGAATTTTTATGACGAGAATTTTGACCTTCAGATGACACATCGCTTTGTATTGTATGTATCATCTGTACTTACATTATTCATTAGAATGATATACCAGTATAAAGTAAACCATTTCCTTAACAATATTAAAAATGGAGAAACCTATGGTAACATATAAGGAAAATTTGTAATAGTCCCACTGTAGAGAGACTGGTGGACTCTTCCTTTTATTTTCTTTGTGATACTAGAGTGGCACTAAGAAGAATCCATGGTTCATCAACTTTTTAAATGGATAGTGTAATAACACTATTCATTATGATCCAAAGACACTATAATCAGTAGTATACCTATATATAATATTTGTTTCTCAATAAATTATTGTATTGTTTTACATAATCAAATTGTTAAAATCTATTGTACCCACTTTGTGATAAACACGAATGTTTCTACTGCACATATTTATATACCAAAACAGCATATTTATTCGTAAATAAGTATAAATGAGATAAAAAATTTGGAGTTCAAGTGCACACTTCGAGTAGTTTATAAGTGAAAGGACTACAGTAATATACATAACATAGGTATTATAAAATACATTCAATGTTTTAAATCAAAATTTTACTTCTTTTCAACATAAAAAATAAAGGAACGGACAGACTATTATGTAGTACTGCCTATTAGCTGTTCTCTGTTATGACATACTGACCACAGAGGGCAGATAACGCAATGGATCATTGAACTACATATCTTGACCATGCAATCATCATCATCAACTGCCTTTATTAGTCCACTGCTGGACATGGGCCTCTCCTTAGAAAGGAGCATGCCATGCTTAGGCACAAATAATCCAGCTCTAACGAAGTGATGCAGTGTGTGAGATGTGTGAAATATTATATTGATTCCTTAGGTGCTTTTCACCAAGTGAGTGAGGCTCCTGGAGCCCAAACCCCTGCTCCTCCTTCTAGGCGTGAGATCTTAAAAGATGGCAATGCACATGTAACTCATGAGTTGCAGGTGTCCATGGGCAGCGGTAGTCCCTTACCATCAGGTGGCCTGACTGCTCATTTGCTTTTTTATATCATAAATAAAAATCACAGATATTTCTTACTAGAAAGTACTGATGAATTGCACACAATCAAGTAGAATATTATAATATAACTACAAAAAAATAATGCAGACCCACTCACCTTTTCTACGGTCCTCAATGAATTCTTCCTCAAAAATACCGTCATCGCCTCGGAATGGCAGTTGTCTCTTTAATGCCTTCCCTGGGAGAGGTGGAACAACAATCTACAAAAATTAGTATTAATATTAACATGCCGTATAATACTTCTCACAGTTTCAGGTAAATGAGGAGTAGTTGTATCATGATATTTGTTCATCATCATAAGAACATTATTATAGGATGTTCATGTACAGTCATGGGCCTTCCTTTATGATTTCCAACTGTCCCGCTTAGAGGCTAATTGTTAGGGCAAAATCAACAAGCTAGTTTGTCCACCCCAAAAAAGGGACTACCACTATTAAACTAGTATATTCTAAGGCTGAACACATGCCTCTCCTACAACATTCCAAGAGGAACAGGCTTGTAATTGTGGCTAAAATATAAATGATTAGTAATTGCAGGTTTTATTATTACTACAAGTGATGTTTAATTATTGTATTGATTTTCAGACTACCATTTTAAATTATTTGCTGTACATCTGGCTGTTTATTATGAATGAGGGTTTTCATTATCTGTGTGAATGTAAGGCTGCCTACAATACAGGGGATAACTCTTCATTTTCTTGGTAAGCATGACATTTAAAGGTAATGGAGCTATTTTGCAACTGTCTTTAAAATATCTGACAAAATGTTCAAATAAACGCATACCAATAAAAGTCAAATCTATTATCAATATCGTACTGATTCTGGTTGTTTATGAATCATCAAGTATTGTTGGCTGATAAGCCAAAAACATATTAATGTGTAAAATGTATCTCACCTTACTATCTCTCTCTAATTCATTTCTTAGCCACTCAAAGTCGCTGTACCGCCGTCTGACGCTTGATTCTTTAACTTTAAACACTGGCAAGTTTGTCTGCAAGCAAAAAAACTTGGCGTAATAGAATAATCTCATTGTATCGGCGTATCATCATCCGGCCGAGATACGCCCACAAACTCACTTTCATGCGTCGATGCAGCTCGGTAATCTAATTATATGATAATAATAGAGCCCATGGCTTACCCTCATGCGAACTTCATAATCCGTGTAACGTTTCTTCCCTACTCCCATCGATGTGACTGGGTTTACAACGTCAATTTCTAAGAAGTTCGCCGGTGCCGCGTAAGCATCGTCCAGCGTTTGCTTCTTCACGTTCAGTCGCCTCGTGGCATCGGCTGTCGTATCCTCAGCCATCATAACTTTTAATTATTGTAACAATCACAAAAACTATGAATAGGACGGCCCACTAATCAAAAGGAAATGAAAATTGACAAGAATGAAACATCGTTTGACATTTAATCAAATATGGCGGCTAATGAGAACCCAGTATTCTACCATCGGTAGGCTATTTTTTCCTTTTGTTTTATTATAATTCATTAATATTAAAAGAAACGCTTTTAGTTTTACCATTTTCTGACTATTTTTATGAATAATTATTTTCCTCAACTTTTAATTGGTTTTTGTTTAAATGTTTAGTATTCTACTATATGCAGTTGTTACCATAATAACAACACTAAAATTAGAAATATTCGTAGGCAATGGTAATGACCATTCAACCACATCTATGACCTCACTGGACAAAAACCTTAACCGAATGAATCATCATACGAAGGTAAACAAGCCAAGTGAACTTATGTTTACTTCTTTTATATGACAATCATTCTAAGCGTATAATAGATGCTATTGCAAGATAACGTTCATTAGCTATTTCCACTTTTATGATATACTAGCCAATACTGTGGTTTTGATATAAAATCTATAGTATGTATATATTTAGAATTATATTAAAATCGGATTTTGTCCCTGCCTGAACTGCATCAGTTTTTTTACTCGAAACCCCTAGATATTTTCAGCCAGAAAATAAGCCTAGTTACTCCTTATATAACTAAATACCTGCCAGTAAAACCTTATAAAAACGGTCCAGCCGTTACGAAGATTAGCAGAACAAAGAGGCATAGCTATCGTGCAAATAACTGTATGAGCTAAAAATACTATTTTGATCTTACAACCAGACACTTCCATTTTATTTATTTGTTGAAGTGTCCATACAATTAAACAAAACACTTTTTATTTTCGTAAAACATTTATTTATATTCCAGAGTTATTGATACATTTTCTTTTCATAAAAATTGACTCATAGGATCTTCTTCACGACGCTTCTTCATCTTGTAAGCCTCCAATTCCTCTTCCGTGGGGGCTTTAACTTCAAACATACTGTTGTATGGACGTTTTCTTTCATCCATCGAAAGCAAGTAGTCCGCTCGCTTTTGACTTCGTTCTTCCATTTTTAATGCCTGTAAAATTAACCAAGTTAAAATTTTCAGATCTAAAGAAATTTCTTAAATAATTGTTTTATTTTCGCTTAGTATAGAGATGTTTGATATTATTTCTAAAGTACTAACAATAATTTCACAGATTACATAATCTGATCCCAAACTAGGGAGAGTGTGTTCTATGGTAAACAGACTGATGATAAACAAAGATTTCTAGATACATATTATAGATAAATTACACTCAGGCATAGAATAAGTAATCATGCTCATCACACAATATTTGTCCTGGGTGGAAATCGAACCCACAACCTCTGGCTTAGCAATCAGGGTCCCTAACCACTAGACCAACAGGCCCGTCACTTACCTATTATTTTATATAAAAAAATTTAGTCCTAATGAAAATTGACTTTTTGTTTACAATGTTTGCTGTGATTAATACTCAAATGTTCTAATACATAAAAAAGACTGTGTGTTTGTTGGTATTTTATACACCATCCTTCATCCATTTATCACGAAATATATATCCCAGGGGCACAGAAAAGCACATAATGTACCTTTCAGGCATAGAAAGCTATTGTTATTTTTTAAAGTATAAAATGAAGTCAATTTTTTTCTTGTACGCTTAGATCTTTTAAACACCGCAACGGATATGCGCTTTTCACCAATAGACAAAGGGTTTCAAGCGGCGGGTTTATACGTATAATACATGCATATTATAGTAGTGAAAATCCAAGAATTTCAAAGATTTGTAACGAAGTTGTAAAAACATGTTATTGTGCGCTTACATTGCAAACGTTATTTAAACGTTACGAGATAGATCAAAAGAATATACCACAGAATTGTATATCTTCAAAAGATCTACAAAAACTCCTAATGATAACCTGCAGTATCCATTTTTATTTTTTACATGTTTCAAAAAAATAATGGGTTATTTACTAAGCCATTTTTTTATTTATTTATTTATTTGATCACCAACAATGGATATACACAGAAGTACATATAATACACACTTAGTTTTTTGAATAGTGTACTCCTTCAGTTATAGGAGACCACAGCACGCAATAGGATATCCAAACTTTTACCTAATACAAAACCAATCCAAAAGTAACATAGTGAGAAAACCTCCTAAATAACATTAAATATGACAAAATATTACATTTTTTTTCTTTCTTTCTGTCTGAATACAAATAAACAGACAAATTTTAAAATTAAAAAAAAAGAAAAACAACAATAAATGAGAACCTTAAAGAACTTTTTGCAAGTGTCTTTTAAATCGGGGTAAGGATTCGCAAATATCGATATCATGAGCTTTTGATAAAGTGTTGTACAGCCTACAAATCCTCGGCACAGCAGCGTAATGACCCAGATTAGTTCTCGAAAATGGAATTTCAAATAAATTATAATTGCTTTTTCTTGGAAGACGCAAAGGTATTTTTATGCTTAAGGCGCTTAGTAACTCACTACAGTCCGTGGAACCACTTAGTATTTTATGTAGAAATATGGAATCAAGTTTCATTCTGCGGCTCGCTAAGGTTTTTAAATTATAACGCGTTAACCGTGATGTATAACTTAAAGTTTCTTTTGCTAAATGGAATGAATTTTGAACAATACAGTATTATTTTTATTTAAATAAATACGTTAGGTACGTTGTGCATTTAATGTAGATATCAGAGATTTAAAATGTCGGGCCGTCCCGGGTGGCACCGGCTGGCAGGAGCGGAGCGGGCCTATAAATATTACATTTTAAGATATCCTGTATAACCTTATCATATAAAAGTATTACTCCATATTGACACCACATTATTAGTATTTACATTGCCCCCCTGCGAAGCCGAGACGCATCGCTATTTATTATTATAAATTGTTACACAAGCTAAGCTGCGGGCAATACTTAGAGATAATATAAAGAACTAACCTCTTTCAACTTATCTTCTTCCCGTTTCTCCTTCTTGAGATCCTTCTTCTTCTTTTTCTTTGCTTTCTTTTTGTTTTTCTTCTTCTTACTAGTCTTTTCTGTTTTAGACCTGATTTCCTTCTCTGAATCAGAAGAGCTGCTTTCCGAACTCGAGGATGATGAAGAAGATGATTTTTCTTTCTCTACAAAAAATAATACAAATAAAGAATTTTAAAAGTGACAAAGACAGAATAACGCTTTTATCAGTATGACGAGTTTCATTGTTATCAACAAAAAATAATCTTAGCTACATATGTGGCTATCATTTTCTTTTAAATTGGTCGACTTTTACCATATGTTATGGTATAGGAGCTAGCAACGTTTTCGAGAAAGAATTTTAGGTCAGCTGATTTTGTGATATGTCGTCCTTCTTGCACTTTCGGTTAGACTCTGGGCTATCTGGCTGGCGGTAGCGGTTGCGTTCATTAGTGCGCATCCTACCTGTCCAGGTAGTAATCCTGTATTTTAAAACCATTTTAGAAGGCGTAATTTTTAATTTTTTGTTTTTAAATAAGTCTACCTGACATACTTTTTTTATTGCCAGACATTTTTGACAATGCTAACTATGTGCCATACGCGATTTTATTTTATTTCAAAGTAAAAATTTCAAAGTATTTTATAATGTCTGTAATTTTAATATTATGTTATTTAAGATAAGAAAAACTTAAAATAAATTTGCCAGACATTAATTCGATTGTTAAGTCTTGAATTAAAATTAAAAAGTCATGAAAAGTATTGCAGTATAATGCTAGTAGTCCGAAGCTGATTCTAGGATTATTTTTCATATTTGCCAAATCGATTTTGACGCAGACGTTGTTATACGCTGTTGTGATTCTGATATTTTAATTATACTTCTGGGAAATATGGATCACCTGAAAGCATCTTTGAAAATTTGGATAAATATGGGTGTTGGAAATCATCAGCGTTACATAAACATCAATGAATTACACCGAATTCTTGGTGACTCTTTATGCAAAGCTTTACCATGCTTCCACGCAATAACCGGATGGGATTACACGCCAGCTTTTTTTAGAAAGGCAAAGTTAAGCCTTTTAAAATATTAGAAAATTCTAAAGAATACCATTTAGCTTTTGATAATATTATTACGGATGACGAAGAAATACTTGAAACTACGTTTGTAACCCTGGAGAAATTTATTTGTCAAATGTATGGAGTTAAAAATTGTTCCAATGTTAATGATGTTCGATTTCATTTATTTTCAAGTACGTTTAAGTCTAAAAAATCAGATGAGAACTTCAACAAAAAATTTCGAAACTTTGACTCATCCAGTTTGCCACCCTGTAAAGCGGAATTGCAACAGCATTTATTGAGGGTTCGTTACGTGACGAAAATTTGGAGAAATGCTCACTCAAAACATCCAACATATTTATCTCCAATGACTTTCGGTTGGACCATTAACGGTGACAAATATGATTTTGTCTGGTTTTTGGGAGATCAATTACCATCCTCAGTTGCAGATATTATTGTTCAAAGTAAGTGTGAAATGGAATATTTATCAATAATAACTAAAATGTTTTATAACGAACTAGAAGAATTACACTGTTTATTTTTTTTCTGTTGCAGATGATAGAGTTTTAGAAGATAACGAAAGTTCCCAAGAAGATGACATGAATGACACTGACAAAGACAGCGACGATGATGATGATGATTATGAGGATGCCTCTTTTTTTGTAACTTTGGTTGAAATAACTTGAAAAACTTAATATTAATTTATTTATAATTTACATAAAAAAAAGTGTTGTTTATTTAAATAAAAAGTGTTGTTTTTTAAATTTTAATCTAATTTTTTTTTTTTAAATTTATTAATAAAAGGACTTTGTCGCTGAGCGACTACATCGTCCCATATGGACTAATCTAATTTTATATTCCTTTTTATGGTTAAAATTTTTTTTGAAACTTGCACTGACTAGAATGATGATTATTATTATTCTTATTCTTATTATTTTTTTTAATTATATGCACAGTGAAAAGTAATTTACTTTCGTAATGGTTCTCTGTATCATTCTCGACTTATTCTGCAACTAACTCTCTCGGACTACTAGCATTATACTGCAATACTTTTCATGACTTTTTAATTTTAATTCAAGACTTAACAATCGAATTAATGTCTGGCAAATTTATTTTAAGTTTTTCTTATCTTAAATAACATAATATTAAAATTACAGACATTATAAAATACTTTGAATTTTTTATAAAAAAATAAAATAAAATCGCGTATGGCACATAGTTAGCATTGTCAAAAATGTCTGGCAATAAAAAAAGTATGTCAGGTAGACTTATTTAAAAACAAAAAAATAAAAATTACGCCTTCTAAAATGGTTTTAAAATACAGGATTACTACCTGGACAGGTAGGATGCGCACTAATGAACGCAACCGCTACCGCCAGCCAGATAGCCCAGAGTCTAACCGAAAGTGCAAGAAGGACGACATATCACAAAATCAGCTGACCTAAAATTCTTACTTTCCAAACGTTGCTAGCTCCCGTACCATTAGAAAAATGGGCGAAATTGTCAAACGGAATATTTTCTGTAATGCATTCAAATGTAGGCTGCATCATCAACAGCCTTTAATAGTCCACTGCTGGACATAAGCCTCTCCTGAGAAAGGAGGTTTTGGCCTACTATACCACGCTGGCCAGACGGGTTGGTAAAGGGTTTGTGTCAAGTTTTTCTTCTCTCTGCAGTGCTGTTGTAGGCTGCATATAGCGTTTTAATCCACTAAACCAGGGATGCCCAAACTATTTTGGGCAAGAGATCCCCATAGCTAAATTACTGCACGCTTATCGACTTGTTAAGTTTTTTAACTACAACAATGATACTTTCATCTAAAATAGTAGTCATTCTTTTAAAAAGTTGGTACATGTAACACAACTAATACAGTATCTTGAAAGTTGCAAACTAGAACTAGTGTTAATAGGGGCCCACTTATAGACCTCGTCGACACCCAAAATCAGTTTTCATTTATGTCGACTCCTAGGAAACCGACACTTTGGGACAAAGGCACACTTTTCTATAGTCTTAGACTTAAGACTCTTAGAGCCATAGCAATAGCAACAATGGTGCTAATTCTGTTGCTCGAAAACTCTCTAAACTAAAATAAAAATCGCTAAAAAAATATTTTTCTGTCGAATATTACGTTTTCAGAATAGGAAACGTGTTTTGACAGGACTAAACAAATTTTTAGTGATTTTTAGTTTAGTTTAGAGAGTTTTCGAACGACAGAATTAGCACCAATAACAATAGTTAAATATAATTAGATTTGTTACCTTTTTCTTTCTTTTCTATACGTTCGTGAGAAGCTGCAGCTGTGGGCTTTTCTTCAGGTACTTCTAACACAACACCCTTGCCCGCCTCACCCACACAATATGACATCTGAAAAAACAAACATTTTATTTGAACAACAATGGACTAGCTGCGGTTAAAATTCTTTGTTTAACAGTACTTCAGAAATAAGAAATGAGGATTCCTCAATGTTGGTTTCTACTTTACAATTGAAATAAATGTTAAAATGAAACGTTTCGAAAATATTGGGGCGTGACGTCCCAACCCTTTTGTCACAAAAGTGTTGTTTTAATGTAAGTCTATTAACGTATTATTGATGTGATACTCTTTTTTTCATTTGTAACATCTGAAAAGGGACGGTAAAATGTGTGGCCGAGGAAGAACGCGCTATTTGATTTGACCAATAAATATGAGTATTTCTGACAACAGACACATAACGCCATCTAGTTTCAAACTAAGCTGAGCGTGTACTATTAAAGTTAGATTGACTGATAGAATACTATTATACTTTTTTTTGTAAATTCATACATATTATACAAAGAACACCTAAACTCCGAAACAAATATTTGCAGATCATACAAACATTTGGTCCGACCCGGAAATCGAACCCGAATCAACGACCGCGCACTAGAGCTAGCCGACAGATGGTAAGTGTGATGTCAGATATAACACATCATTTACGACTGGTGTCAAGTCCGACCGTTCTTTTTTCATATGCTACATTTGCGAAATATTTTTTTACCTAGTTCACTATATTTCTGTAACAAAGAATTGTATTATATTGTAAATAATTATGCATATTACTTTCTATTTCATACCTTTATAAATGAGTGACAGCATTTATAGCCCCATTGTCCATCCTTCCAATACGAACCCCATACAGACGTATGGTTGTTTATCAATACATCTTCCTCATATTTACTCCTGAAACAAACGTATACCGTTTATTAAAAACCATTGTCTTTTACGTGACAACTATGGTAAGTGAATACCGCCGCCCATGGACAACTGCAACTAAGTCACAAGAGTGTGGTCGCTCTGTGCGATCCCCCCGAATCAGGGAAGAGGAGGTTTGTGATGCCCGGGTATTATTCCGGTCAACTTTAAAGTAAACATTTAAATTGGTTCACCCGTTTATAAGATAAACACATGAAACTAATAACCCCAGAGGGTATTTGTGTTTTTCATGAACGTAGAAACTTAAAATTACGAAGTAAAAAAGACATTGAGCTTACTTAGCCAGTTGTTTCTCAGGCCCTTGGACTATGGTGCCGTCTCTGTTGTAACGTGTAAACACTTCTGTTTGCGCCAGCAACAACTCCTTGGGGGGCACCGCTAAATGTTCCTCGCCACCATACTTCTCTAAGACCGATTGCTTCACCTGTTATCAGACAAATAAAATTAAAATATTTTTTTTTACTCTTCAATGCTCTGAAATTTTATATTTCATATGTGGATAATATTACGAGAGCTACTCATATACGAGAGACATATGTAAACCTTACTTCTTCTGTTCTTCTTTCACTCAAAGACGGCTGAACGGATCTACGTGTAATTTGGCACAGAAATAGATTATAGTCTGGAATAGCACATAGGCTATAGGCTCTTGAAAAAATGTAGATGGGATGAGCAAGGTACAACAACAATCGCGGTTAAAACCGCAGGGCACAGCTAGTTAAAAATAAATGTTACGTATTTAACTTCAACAGTTTCTAAATTTCTGTATTGACTAAGGTACATCTTATATTTAAAGGTATTTAAGAGTTGCATTTTTTTTTCTACTGATAGATTTAAATACACGTAACAAAAAGATGTACAAGAAATATTTTGTCCAAATTTTCCGCAAAATGCTGATATTTGAATTTATTTATTGTAAGCATCGAGTGGGTGCAGTAGGGTACCGGCCTGCGTCTTGAAGTGGTCCTTCTTGTCGCGGTACTGGCGCTGCAGCAGCTGCAGCTTGGTGGGCTCGGCCAGCAGGTGCACGTCGAGGCCGCGCGCCTGCGCCTCCCACGCGAACACCTGCGCCGCGCCGTGCGCGACGGTGTCGCCGCTGAACCGCGCGAAGTTCTCGCCCAGGTAGTCCGACCTGCACGCGCAACACGTCCACGTACACCTCGTCACGACTATAACTTCGGTTGTTTAACGAGAAAGCGACAGATAAACACAGAAGAAAATCTTTTCACATTATAGGTCATCTGAAAGTCAGCCAAAAGATTTATTCTGGTCTACTCTGAGAGAGCGGGTTTAAACCTCAGCTTTCTGTTTATCGTCAACGTTTAATTTATATGTAGATCTGGTTTACCCTGATCACATAAAACATAGTAAAACCGTTCCATATTATTAAGCTCGGTTCAGTAAATTTTAAAACTATTATAAGCTGTTTTAGTCCACCTAGTGGTAAAAATAATTTTAAAAATACCATGCTTAAATGAAATGTTAAAATAAGAAAAATAAAAAACATCTGTCACGATCAAAACTACGATTTCACTTAAGGCCGTCGTGCAACTGACACTAATGTTACCTTACCAAAGCATTTATACCAAAGCTAAGTATAGTTTTGTAACTTTTGCTACCTCTCAAAAGCATTTGACTGTGTTAATCATGAAAAATTGCTGAAAAAAATATCAGCATTACGAACTTTGTAAAAAAAGCCCTCTATTTGCTAAAATTTTAGCTGAATTATAAAGAACAGCAGGGTTAGACAAATGGCGCCAGTACATTAGGATCAAATCGGAAAATAGGCGTTCCGCAAGGACTGATATTGGGCCCGTTCATGCCACAGACCTCAGTATCTGGTATAAACTTCTTGCTAGGTCTACCCGTTCCTGAGAAAATCGGTGTGACACACGGACAGATGGACAAGAAAGTGATCTTATAAGGGTTCCTTTTATACCTTTTGAGGTACGGAACCCTAAAATGGACATAAAAGCAATAAGCAAAAGAGGGGCAGAATGTTCTCATTATCCTAATTTCCTTCCTTCTTACTCTTATTTATTTTTCTATAGAAATCAAGAAAATGAAAAAAAAAAGCACTTACTCAGCGGCGCTCGGGTTTGGATTATCCCTCATGGAGCGCGTCTTAGGATCATAGTATGCTGAGTTCGGATCCAGATTGCGCAAGTACTTGGCTGTGTCTTCTCTGATACGCAAGTTACGCACTGTGATACGTTGTTTTGAATCTACCTACAAAATACAAAGAGGAGATTATGATTTTGTTCTGGTCGAATGTTAAAATATTCGATAAAATTATTGAATTTACAGGATTCTTCTGAACCCTTTCTTTCTTTTAAATATGTTATTATCTTCATAATATTAAATGATAGACCATAACTAAAAGAAATGTATCCTAAATCCTTTTATAAACTACAAATTACTTAACTGACATTACAGAATTAAATCTAAATTGTTTACGTCTATTCACAAATGGGAAAGGAATCATTAAAAGAAAAAGCTTTTCGTAAGTACATACTTTAGTACCAGGCATGTCTACTTCATCTACATATTTGTCCTCATCTTCCTCAGCGTTGTCATCGTCTTCAGTTGCTGTTGGATCTGGAATCAAGACCCCGCAAAAATACCCTTAAGTTTTTCTTTATGTAACTTAACTTCATAATTTTATAATATAACATATTGTATTGTTTCTCTATTATTAATAATCTCATCAAAAGCATTGATTGTACTATGAGTTTAAGTTCCATATTCTTTATCCGTGTGGTGATGGATTAAGAATACGGAATGTCACCACCCCTATTCATCCCGTGGGTGTCGTTAGAGCCAACTTAGGGACTAAACTACAAAACAACAGCTTGCAAAGAGAAGGAAAACTTGAAACAAACCCTATACCAACCCGTCTGGACAGCGTGGTATAGTGGCCAAAAGATTTGCGACCGGCTCGATCCCTTGGCGTTACGTAGAGATGTAGCTTCGCTCTGCATTCTCTATCCTATATATCATGGAGAGTGCTCCGAGGAATTGTTCGGACTAATACCCTCCGCAACCTTCCGCCATCGTTCCACACGGCAAAATTTTCATCCCATCAACTTGGATAATTGGCGCTCCACCACTGTGCGCTTTTCAAGACACTTTTTGCCTCGCACTACCAATCTGTGGAACTAGTTATCGGCTGCGGTATTTCCGGACCGATACGACCTTCAAGAAAAGAGCGTACTCTGTCCTTAAGGGCTGGCAGCGCTCTTGTGACTCCTGAGTTGCTCGCTGAATTGGACTATTACAGGCTGTTGATTGATTGCTGAGTTTAAGAATATGAAGTGATATACATTAATAACCTCGAAAACACTAACAGCTCTAAATGTAGAAGTTAGAATCTCCTACCAATACCAACAACTTAGAAACTGAACCACACTGAAGTCATATAGTCTACTTTTAAGCATCATGATACATAGTGAATTTCTGACAGTTTAAATCCTATGAAAGTGTTCACATACCTTCTTCCAAATTCTTAGCTCTGAGTTCTCGTTTAGCATCCTCAACTTTCTGATACTCCTCAATAATAGCTTTGTGTTGTGATGGATCATAGCCATTCCATCGATCTCTCTTTCCATCATAACTTAGGGTTAAATTTGGTTGAGCAAATTCATCTGCTGCAATACCAGCATTTGTGAATTTTGCTCCAATCTGCAACATAATTTTTAAATCAGTTAAAAAAAAAAACAGTTAAAAAAGAATGTTGAAATGAACATGTTAACATCATGGATTCTCAGCTTCACTCTGAACTCTGCTCTAAGTGGAAGTAAATTATACAGTAAACAAAATGAAGATGCCTAAATATAATTAGGAGACATAGTTTAGTGAACTATTACCGCTGAACTATTAGAAGTCATTTCAAGATATGATTGGCTATTACTAGATAGTGGAATATAAATATGTAATTGATCAGGTTTTTGAGTCAAAACTTATATCAAATAGTTATTCTTATTTTACAGAATAGGTCAGATCAATAATTTATTTCAAAATATTCCAAAGTATTGTTGAGTAATTTCATTAAATAAAGATATTGAATTGACATTTACAAGACGGAAAAAAGTAAAAAAATTGAGGTTCACAGCCTTACTCAAATGTATTGATTTAGTTATAGTGTAGTGTATATGATGTAGTTTTTCATGGGCATGGCTATATCAGTATTGTCACATGAACTCACCTTCCGCGGTCTGTCTAAGCAATCCTTCTTTTTGTGTGTCATGGCACCACAATTCTCACAGGCCCCCTTTCTAAATTTAGTGGCAACTTTTGTCTGTGAAACAAAAAAGGTACAATTATTTTTTATTAAACATTATATTGAGTTAATATAATCAATTTCATTTGCCAATTATTTCTTTCAGTTGAATTCTTGTATATTATAATGTAACAAAGTAATATGACAATGATGATAGAATATACAAAAGTAGGTGAAGTTGTTTCAGAGACTATCCGTCATAAATACACAAACACTGATTTAAGAACTCAATCTTTATAATTTGTAACAAATTAGTTACTAAATTACGAAGACCACTTTGCTAAAAAGGATTTTTAAAAGTACTCACAGTGTCAACACCTTTTTTATAGTATGTGTCAAGTTTGGTGAATTGTGCCTCAGTATCTTCCTGCGGTCTTTGATGTTTCAAGGTTGGGCCGGAGGTACCATAGTACCATGGTGCTGAAGATATGTACTGCGGAATGTGGGGATTTATGTCCTTGCCTAGAATAACGGATAAGAGTTTTAACATATAATTTTTAACAGAACCTTATTAGCGGTAAATGCCCATATTTATTTTTGTGTACTGAGTTATAAGGTTCCTAACAATTATACGTCTGAATAAAGTTATTGATAATATGATAAAAATAGTACACTTACATAAAAGAAAAGCTTTCAGTAAAGTATTAAATTTCTAAGTCAAAAACTTTTTAGATGAACTAAATAATAAACAATAACCTAGACGGCAAATAACTGTTTTTGCAGATAGAAAATACTTTTTTAGTAGAAATACCTGTCTCGTCAACAGCAGCCGGTGCTGTACCAGCTTTCCGAGCCTCTTCTAACTCTTTAGCCTTCCTCCAGTCTTCTCTGGATTTCTTCTTAGGTTCATCCTCTTCGTCCACAACATCGTCTTTATTGCGCAGTATTTGGGAAACAGCGACACGTGCGCCGGTGGCCATATTTAACCTGAGTGTTGATATTTATTTTCACTCAAAACTAATTAAGACGTGAAAAACATTTTAAGTCTTGTAAATTAATTCTTAAAAATAAAAACAGCCTCTTCGACTGTTTGCAAATGGCGTATTGAATTGACAGTTGACATTAACAAGTCTGACATGTTTGCACACGTTCCGAAATCACTGTTTAACAACTAGCGAAACTTTTCAGTTTACTTTCTAGATGAACCTTATTCTACCTCTGTATGTATTTTACCTGATCTATGAGTAGTAAAGAGCACAAGAAGAGTTTATGCAAAGATTCTGACATAAATTAATCAGTTATTGAATTAAAGTACGTTTACAGACTACGTTACCAAACTAATTAGTTTTTGAAGACGATTTATTTAAAATGATTTTTTTTCTTGTTTGTTTCTTCTTCCTACTCTAATAAATGATGATTGAATTTTAAAAAAGAATGAAATTTAATTCATCTCGGTGAACACTGCATATGTACTGAGACCGTTATCATTATACGCCTAACCATGTTTAGACAAACTGATTCGCTTTTAATCTCATATTGAGATTAGAGATAGAATATATATTTTCAAAAATTGTTTTACTTCAAGTTTATTTTTTGTATAATAAATGTATTTACGAAGTTGCTTTTGAGGCTTTAACTTTAACGTTACCTTTCAACTACCTACCTAAAAAAAATTGCTTTAGAACCACCTACCAACTTATTCAAGACTAGCCTCTGGCTTTTGCCGCACTGTCACCGATCTCTGGTTTAAAGTATATTACCTATGGTCCGTACCGGCGTGTACTACTCCGCTCCGTGTCATAGTATGATGTTACATGATCTTAAATAATATATAAAATAATATTTTGCTAAGAAAGAAGGAACTTGCCTGAATGAACACTATAGGTATTGAATATCAAAAGAATTTCTAGCATCTAGGGTAGTTGACTTGACGAGGTGTGCAAGCTCTTCGAAAGAGTGATTGCAAGGCGCCTCGTCAAGCATCTAGTCATAGTGGGGCCCGGCTCTGGCAGACAACCAGTACGGTTTCATGCGCGTGACGGCTTTGGCGGGGCGAAGTGATGTTGGCAGTGTCCTTGGACATCGCCAATGCGTTCAACGCTTTGCCCTGGAGTTGCATCAGGGAGGCGCTCCACCGCATAATCGGGGCATATTTGTCAGAGAGAGCCGTAGTTTACCCAAGTAAACTTTGAGGCGGCGAGTTTCCTGACCGGAACTCTACCGTGGGACCTGGAGGCGAGAGCTCTTGCGGCTCTGTAGCAGTAGCGCAGGAGGCACGGAAGTTGGGTCGGTGTCCTAAGTCTCGAAAAATATCTCCGCCAGGTCCTCGTGGAATAGTGGAAGGAACGACTTGGGCAACCGAGTGCTGGGCACGCCTTTCTCGCAGCGGTAAGACCCGTTCTGGAGGAGTGGCTCGAGAGGCATCACGGAACCTTCTCATACCGGTTGACGCATGTGATCACCGGGAAAGGATGCTTCGGAGATACCTGTGTCTGATCCGCATGGAGCTAACGCGTGAGCTACTATTTGTTGCGAGGACATGAAATAATAATAAAAACACTAATTAACTAAATATATTGATAGAGTATTTAAGTCATTTATTATAATTACATAACTATTTATTAATGTCAAATTGCTGATTTATAGCTTGCGTCGAGCCCTGGGACGATGGTATGACGGTCTTGGCACATAGACACGTTCATTGCTGTCCCCGGTCTGGCTCAAAGACTCTTCTAGAGGCTCTGCCCGTGGAGTGAAGAGTTTACGTCGGCTGCGAGTAATGCTAGAAAGAAGAAAACAGGTTTTAGTGGTCTTACGAGAATTGAAATACCAATTGTGGCTCTTTTGTCCTATAAACCAAAAACCAATCGATATAACGGCACAAGCCCAATTTACTTATGAGAACATGGTGATACCTTGACACATTTCACACACAACAATTTAATTTCAAACTAGGTAGAGTTTGTACTACAAGTAACCAGAATCCACGAACTCAGCAGGTGAACTAACCAATAGACCAAAAACTCTGTCCATGAGGCAATTATCCAAAACACCTTTATAAAAGTAAATTGCTACAACCAAACAAACGCGAAAAGTAAGACCACCACCGAATTTAACTACAGTGTTTTACCTAATGTGGATATCGCCTGGAGTGTCGTTCTGCCCTAAAGAAAAAAGTGAAGAAAAATAAGAATACAAGACTACATTTACTTCTAATCTACTTTAGTGATGTGCCGGAGATTTGTTCTTATTAGTTCGATTCGCCAGTTCGATCGTCGGACTAGTGAGATTTTTTTTTTCTCATTAGTTCGATGGTCGAATTTTGGGTTGTTGCATTGATTAAGGTTTCAGTGTGGGCCAATTATAGAGCCGAACGCAGTCACCGTGACGATCGAATAGAAGTGAAATAAACTCGCACTTGGCCCTCAGAAAACAAAATAGATCGTTTTTCTAAGAATAATTATATCTGTAATTTCTAATTTGATCTTTGACCAATGATCATTTATTATACATAATTTTCTGGTTAAGCTTGTTGAGATAGGCAAGAAAAAAAATGGTTTTTCAATTATGTATTTGATCAAGGATGTCCTTTGATTTTCAATGAATAAACTTTTTTTTATTTATATTATTTTGTTTTATGTTTCATTCCGAATTAAATGCAGTAGACATTTTTAATTCTCACTAGTTGACGATCGAACTGATGGATCGAACTAACGAGAACCAATCGTGCCGGATAGTCGTATCAGCGGATTATTTTATTAGGACACTAATAAACTTTATTCGTTTTTGAGGTCATACATTAATAACGGGCACATCACTACTCCAGACCTACACTTAAAATATAAAAAAGTTACATACCTTTTAGCAGGACAACTTTGGATTCCCATTATTGGGGGCAAATTTTCTTCTCTACCCTTTTCTGGGGATGGGATATCTCTTGTCACTTTTTGAGGAGCAGGTACTCCCATTGTTACGTCACTGAACTCTGTTTGTAAATTTACAATATCTTTTAGTTTGTCTTCACTTTCTTCGTCTCCTTGGGTCTTCTTCCTTCTTAACCTCAAAGTCCGTTTTCGCGGCTTAGATTCACATTTAGCTTGATTTTCGAATAATACTTCGTCACTGGTTTCACCTTTAAGCTTATCAGATTTACCGTCTTCGTTTTTGTGAAGCTTTTTTCGTAGATTGTATTTTGTTTCATCTTTATCTGTTCTCGAGTTATTTTCATTAACAGGCTCCGATATAAGTAATTCAAAATCAGTTGCTCTGGGCTCGGTTATATTATTGTATATATTTTCAAATTCTTCAGCAGTGTTGTCCTTTGAGGTGTCATTAGAATAAACCATAGTCTCATCTACTGATGATACTGGTTCTAATTTTTCTTTTTTAATATGTGACGACGTAATTTTTCCATCGGTTACTGACTTTGACATTAAAACTGGTTCACTATTTATTTCAACATGAGTTTCATTAACTGATTCTCTTTCTTTTTTTATTTGTGATGGTTCAGGTGCAATAGTTGGTACAAGATCTTTCAGTACTTTAGGTTTCCCACCAGGGATGTTGATGTGCGAGTTAACATCTTTTATAGGTGATTTAGCAATGTGTTTGGTCGTAATCGATTGAACTATATCGTTCTTGGTGGCAACTGTAGCAGTATCGTTAGACAACTTATCAGTGTCAGATTTCGTATTCAATTTAGTTTTTTCTAGTATAATTTCTGAATTGACAACGTTTAATTCAATAGGTGTTTTAATATCGTCTAGCCTAATCGGTGATCTAGGTTTGTCCTGCCTAATTGGTGATTTAATAAGCGTTTTAGAACTGTCAATCAATTCAGTATTGTTCTCTCTCATCGGCGATTTATAAGCATTCCTTATATTAGCCGATTTAAGAATCTCTTTTAATGGTGAATTAGGTATGAGGTCACGTTTAACTACTTTTTTAGCAGACTGCTGATTTAGAACAAGTCTTTCAATCGACTGTCTTGCCTTTTCAATGTTGCTGTCGCCATTTTCATTTGTAATTATTATAACAGGTGATTCAAAAAGATCGACAGATTCATGTTTTTTAGCAATTCTTGCTTTGTATGCGGACGTAATAATTTCTGGTTTAGTAAAACTTTCCCCTAGAAGCTTTTTAATTTTGCTGGGCTCAAAGCTATCGGTGATTATATTATCTTTCACTATTGGAGGTGATCGTTCATCATCAATAATCTTGATTGCATCTATGTTTTTGTTGGCGGGCTGGACATTTACATCAATATTATCAAAGAATGTACGTTTTTCTTTAGTTACAACTATTTCGTCATTTGATTTTTCTGTTAATTTAGTTGGTTCATTGTCAAAGTAGTGTCTCTTCTCTTTCAAAATCTTTATGTCGCCAAAAACAGAATTATTGGTAACAATCTCTTCATGATACTCCTTTGAAGCCATTTCCAATTGTTCAAACTGTGTAAGAGAACTATCGCTGCCCTGATTAGACTTTAAAGACTTGATTATTTTAGTTACAAGACTTTCTGATACTTCTGTAGCCACTTTTGTATCAATTTTCTCTGTCACTGGTGCTTTAACTTGTTCAACCGCAATATCTTCGTCTTTAGTTTCAGTATTTTGATTTGCACCTAATGCAGGCCCACTAACAAAATAAGTGCCACGTGATGAAGCTACACTTTTTTCTTTACAATCTCTACTAACGTCATTATCATTAATTGTATTATCCCTAACAAAAAATGTTTCTCTACACGTGAAGCTATTTTGGACAGATTTATTTGTTAAATGTTTGCTTAATTCATTCCCTTTATCTTCTATTAATCCATGATCAATGGTACTCATCAGACTTTCATTGGGCTTAAGTACCGAATCGTTTTTTTCACTTTCATAAGTTAAATTTGCAGAATCACTTGCAGTATTATCCTCACATTTACTAACACTATTAATAACACTATCTTTATTACTTATGTCATTTAAACTATCTTCATCAGCAACAGTTGAATTGCTGTCATCATTTACTTTACTTATATGTGCAGATATTGCATCATCAACTTCTTCGTTTTCTTCTTCTTCTTCGTCAATATTATCTATGGTATGTATGCTAACGGTGTCGTTTTGTTTAACTGTCGATTTATTTAATTCTTTTTTAAAAACAGGTTCCAAACTCTCGTTTAATGGATCGCCGGTATCCTCATCGCTTTCGCGTTCACTATCAGATAAGTCCATGAGTTCTTGTTCCGGTGTTGTATCTTTGAATGCTTTCTCTGTAACATAAAAGATTCTGATAAAACCAAAGTTTTGAAATTAATACACTGCATATGTTTGTAGATTGGCATTATATTGACACGATTCAAGTTATTGACTCTTTTCAGACTAATGACTAGTCCTTTTCTCACTACAACTACTTTTTAAACTCTCCATTTCCCTACCGCCTAACTCTTTTATATCCGCAGAACATATAATTGTAAAACAAAAAGTACAACTGTGAAATCTTACCATCTCTCTCTTCAATACAACTACGAAGATGTTGAACTTCTTTTTCTGCGCGGGACCGAGCTAGACTCTCAGCTGTTAGTTTTTCCTAAAAAAAAAACAAACGTATAATTTTAAGTTATTAGATTGAGTAAAAGTTTTTAAGTATCTGTCTGTCTTAAAGCTCTTTTCTGAGCGTTTTGGAGTAGGGATAATCTAAATTTTTTGTGTAGCAGTGCGACAATTACACAATATGTTAGTTTAAGCTTCAAGGTACCCCAGATGCGAGCACATAAAATTTATTTTTTATGAAGCTTGTATACTACGGCCGGAGAATCTTAACATTGCGATCCAGTCGACCGGGACAACGCCATCTATCGCGTGTGTTGCAAAAAATAAAAAAAAATAACGTTCGATTGAACAACCGTACATTGTAATCAAATAGTTGAAGATGTTAGATTTTTTCTATTTATAACTCAAAATAGGAGGTTGTTTATATTTATTATTTATTAAAAGCAAACAGAACAAACTATTAAGTCATCATTATTCCTTACCTCCAAGACCGCTATTTCGGTCATGAGTTGTGACACCTTAGCCTGCAGAAACCGCGATGGAGTACCAGAGCCACTTGAAGAAACCTCTTTAGAAACTTTTGACAGTCGGCTTTCATAGTCTTCTACCATGTCATCCATCTTGGAAAGGCAAATAAACATGTGTTTATTTTACAATAGTAAACGGGTTTAAAACATCGCTTATAAGAGGTAACTCGAAACTATTACTTAGAAATGTAATGTACAAAATTACGTTTTTAGCCATAGCGTACAAACTAATGACATGGAACTTAGATTTGAGTTAGGCATTTGGGACGGTGTAGCATATATATATCAATATGTAAAGATTGGGAGATATTGTCAATCGATTGTTACTTAGCACATTTGCCTTAAATAGTAAAAACGCGAAATGTAGTGTAAGTTTATTTTATGAAGTGACTTTTACTGCCTGTACAGTTAACTTTCTCAGAAGTCCGACTTTTATAACATCCATACAAGTCTTTGCATGAATCCAACTTTTTTATTAGCACTGTTACAACAGTACAGATTTTAATTTTTATTATGAATTTATGACCAAGACAACAATCTTGTTTCTTTAACTGTACAGTTAAAGCATTGTTTGCGGCATGTGGTATGCGGTCAAATCTGCTAACGCTATTAGACGACATATGTATTTACGATTATACTCGATGTCAGTTACATGAAGTGACTTTGCTTTTCTCCAAACTGCATTTGCACTGTACGGATGTTATAAAGGTTGGACTCCTGAGAAAGTTGTCATCTTGCAAACAAACCTTTTACAGGGATGTATCTTAGGTCCATTATTTTACGAATAGTAAATTTTAACTGTCGGGGTGCTTATTTTTAAACGAATGACTGCCATATTGGCTGAGATAATATACGTTTTTAATATTTATACCAAAATTCGTACAGGAATTAAATTGTCGATTTTCAATCAGTCAATTGTATAACACATACCTCTGATCGCAAAGCCTCCAGCTGCGCTTCATAATACTGCCGCGTCATGTCTTTGGCCTCTTCAACGAGTTCCCTCATAGTGTTAGCAGTTTCCTGCTGCCGTTCTTCCATGGCGGCCATCAATTCTTTATTACGAGCTTGGGCTCTAAAAATTGCGTTAAGTACAGATTAGATATGTTGTACATCCGATTTTTTTTCTGTTCGAACATGCACTAGAATATAAATAACTTTTTCTTTGACTCAACATCAACAGCTTTTAATAGTCAACTGCTGGACATGGGCTCTCCTTAGACAGGAGGTTTTGGCCTACTATACCACTCTGGCCAGACGGGTTGGTATAGGGTTTGTGTCCAAGATTTCCTTCTTTTTGCAGTGCGTTGTTTTGCGCCCTCAGTCGGCTCTTACGACACCCACGGGATGAATTGGGGCAGTGACATTCCGTATTCTTAATCCGTCACTACACGGACAGACTTTTAAGACTTTATTTGATATATTATACATATAAGTGTACATATATTTTACAGGTAATTTTAACACTTAGTGCTGGGAATGGCCAGCCGAATACAATAATAGTATTTTAGAAGAATAATAATGTCAAACTTACTGAACAAGTTCGAAGTGTAGTCTTTCGTTGTCGGAGCGCAGTTTCATAACTTCTGTGCTGCAACTAATTGTTGTATCTTGTGTACTGCTCTCCAGTGTTGATAGTAACATAGTATTGTTGACCTCTGGAATTTAATATTTGGTTATTGGGTTTTATTGAAAATCCGATTTAAAAGTCGAGATCAGTCAGTTACAGACATATCTGTAACTAATAAGGGGAACAGTAAATTTAGATCACATGACCTTGATTTACTGTTCCCCAATATTTTTTTATAAATTTGCTATTTTTACAATCTGAAAGTTGATGGTAACACTCTCGATTTTTGCCTACCCCTACGGGGTACAGAGGTGAATGTTTGTTTACTCGCTAGATCTTGACCATTTTCACTTACGTATATCTTGCGCAACTGCAGCTAAACTGAGTACATGTTTAGTTTCATGCGCATATTCAGGCGAGGGGTTCAAGGTGACCACCATGCTCACGGCCTCGCCTTTAGCGCCAGACAGTCCGGTGCCCAGAAGTCGCGTCAGTTTCGATTCTCTATAAACAAACAGATGGTATTTATAGTCATAAGTCCGACTCTAGTCGTAATGTTGGACTCTAGTCGTAAAGTCCGACTCTAGTCGTAAATACCGACTCTAGTCGTAAAGTCCGACTCTAGTCGTAAAGTCCGACTCTAGTCGTAAAGTCCGACTCTAGTCGTAAAGTCCGACTCTAGTCGTAAAGTCCGACTCTAGTCGTAAACTCCGATTCGAAAAAATACCTATATTTACCAACAGAAATAAATTTATATTTATTTCTGTTTCTGAAATAATGATGATGAAATTATTTCATCATCATTATTTCATGTAGTTTTTGAAGGGTAAAGTGGAAAAGGTTGGACAGGTACCCACCTGTAGGGCACGAGCGCGTCGTGGCGCGAGCGCTGCTTGCGGCGCAGCATGTGCAGGCAGCGCTCCAGCACGTGCAGCGACGAGTTGATGGCGCGCGACTCCAGCATGCGCGCGCCCGTGTTGCGCGTGGCGCGCGCGCGCTCGCAGCCCGCCAGGTCGCACAGCCGCACCGTGGCCGAGCGCGGCGCGCCCGCCTCGCCTGCGAGACACACCACGTCTAGTTGTACGTACACCCCTGCCTCGTCATCCCGGTGGATCGGAATCGAACCGAATACACGACATCTCAAACTGTCTCTACAATACGAGAGATCGGGAGACTGGCTGGCCACAAGAGACATACTACATATCTGAGATACCCCTATCTCGATTACCCCTAATACGAGCAAAAGATTTGCTTAAACTTGCGTATTTGCATATTTCTTTTGTACTATCATAACTTTGTTTATTTGTTATGTATGTCAGTAAAAAGAAATCCAATTAAACAACGCTGAATGATCGTAGACTTGTTAATAAATATTAATCCTATTCTACTCAATAAGAACTAAATATCTGAAGAACTAAAACCAGCTTACAATTAAAAAAAATATATCATTTTTTTTTTTTAATCTACTAGCAATCAAAAATACTAGTATTCCCGTTAACCCCTCCCGCTAAGCTAAATTAGTTGGGTTAGGTAGTGTACTGGTCAAGATTTAAACCCACGAGCTCTTGATCGCTAGTCCAAAGCCTTAACCAATAGGCTACCACTAATTCTAATTGATTTAAAAAATAGGAACCTTTTTCCAAGAAAAACTGATTTGAGAATACAAAAAATACCTTACGCAAATGTACACAAACAACGCACAGGTTTTTGTAGGTTGTACACAAAAAACCTACAACAACTATTATAATTAAATTAAAAATTCAACAATAGAAATGGATATTTCATAACATCTGGATTGGTTTTAGAACAGATTATTTGATTAGAAAAATCATCAGTACCCACCGGTTTCCGTCAACATTGTGATTGTAAATATGCAATGGGAGCGAGATGAATGGGCGTGAACACCGGTAGCAGCGACAACTAGGTTATGTTTTCCTGCTACCATAACGTCGTATGCCTCCTCGCCAGAACGAACAAAGGCTTGAGTCGCGCCCTAAAAGAAAAAAAAAATACTAAACTTACTTAAAAGTTTAAAATCAAGCTAGTAACAATCTATACATCATCATCATCAACAGCCGTTAATAGTCCACTGCTGGACATAGGCTTTTCCTTAGAAAGGAGGTTTTGGCCTACTATACCACGCTGGGTTGGTATAGCGTCTGTGTCAAGTTTTCCTTCTTTTTTGCAGTGCTGATGTCCTGCGTTGTTTTGCGCCCTTAGTCGGCTCTTACGACACCCACGGGATGAATTGGGGAAGTGACATTCCGTATTCTTAATCCGTCACTACACGGAAAAATCTATACATTATACGTAAAAAAAACTTTAAAGCTTTTTAAACAAACAGAGCGTATAAAAAGTACACAGAGCTAAAATTTCTCTCAACAACCTTTAATAGCCTCGACAAGTGTCCACAAACACGAACGGGGTGTTTGGCTTGGCTTGCGTTAGCTTATCGTCGGTTTTTGAACACAGATCAAAAGAAGCTTAGACGTATTTACATATTGAGGCGTGCTTGTTACCTACTGTTCAATTTGATAATAGTTAAGCAGGCGGGAATCAACAATTAAGTCTCAATGCTCTACTGGTGCCGTAGTAGGGCTAGAGGACTTTTTATTTATTTATCGTATATCGTGTAGAGTCGCTGTAAGTTTATATTTTGAATAAAAATATGTGCACAACTGCAAAATTTGCCTGTCCAGAACACACTAAAATATTCGTAAGCGTGTAAATGGCATCCAAGCGTTTGTAAAGGCTTGGAGCTTGTGGACGTTTGCCAAACCTCGGCAAGCGTGTAAACTTTGCAAAGGAAGGAAGTTATATTCGGCATAAAATTGTGGTAATAATTTACATAAAGCTACAGAGGTCCAGTATATATATTGGCCTATAATGGTACGAAAGTTTACTTAAAATTTAATTTAATAATTTCACACATCTCACACACAACCGTCTGATCCCAAACTAGGCAGAGCCTGTACTATGGTAACCAGACTGTTGTTATACATAATTATATATTTCTAAATACATACATAATATTGATAAATTACACCCAGACACAGAACAAATGATTGTGCTCTTTACACAATTATTTGTCCTGGGTGGGAATCGAACTCACGACCTCCAGCTTAGCAGTCAGGGTCACTAACCACTAATCCAATCAGGCCCATCAAAATAAATCAACACATTCAAAACGTTCTAAATTCGACCGCCAAGCGATCTGTGTAATAAACGTAATTCATAAGTTTACTTTAAACTTTCCAAACAAAATCACATAGGAAGACCTTACCTTCACATAAACATTGCCTGATGAGTCTTCTCTGATACGCAGTTTGGTCCTTTTCTCTGGTGGCGCCAATAAGTCATAAATGGCTTCATTGTATATCTCCACAAAAGACACCTGGAAAAGATCCAAAATATGAAACGTAAGTAAACTACCCCAACTTATATTGAAGGTAAGTTTTTTGTGTTTTTGGTGTTTTCATGCTTTATCCACTAAACTGATCATTGTAAAATTATGCATACACATTGGAAATGCAAAACTGTGGCGTGTTACTCAGACTTGGGCGCAGCCAATGAGATCTGAAAATGTTCTTAACTTTGTATCTAGTGCATCTTTCGCGAAACAAGCGAGTTCTCACGAGACTGCATAAGATACACTTGTTTCGAACCATGGTCTTCTTCGAAAGGCCGGCCAAGAGAGGCATATATAGATGAATTAATGCGCTGTGATACCTACATATTAAGGAGCTAAAAAAACCTAACTAAGTTAAGAAGTTTTGTTTTGCACAACCAATCTGTGCAACAAATTATCGTCTGCAGTATTTTCTGACCTGTATTGGTCCTCCAAGAAAAGAGCGTACTCCTTCCTCATAGGCGGTGGTAGTCACTTTCCATCAGGTGACCCGCCTGCTTCATCTGTCATAAAAAAAGTCTTACCCAAACATAATGGCGAACTCGATCGGACAGATCTATGGAGCTAGCAGTGAGATCTGAGTGTAGCTGCACACTCATGCGCCGGTACTTGTCGCGGAGCGGCGCTGACACGTGTCGAAGTCGCTTCACCCACTATAATAAAATGAAAAGAGCATTCATTATCTAAAAGGGCTGTTTTACACTAATATAGTAGAAAAGTAGCATGTGAACATACTACTTTTCTACGGGTGGAAGTGCATCCTGTTTCAAACATTGCTATCTGAGCAGTCATCACATGTGGCACAGGGTTGGCCACAAGAAGTTAGGTGAGATTTTGAACATCACATACAACAACTATAATTCCCTCACTCATTTTTTATCACCATCAATTTTTTTATTATAATAATTAAGTATTGTTAATTTTTTTTCAATTATTTACCTGTAATTCAAAATCCTGTTCAGCATAATTAAGTTGCTCTGCACCATTCTCAGCAGGTTTATAAACAGGTTGCTGTGCAGCATCCACTAGCTTAAACACATACTCCAAGGATCTTGGTACAAGGCCGGGAGACCCAACGGTACCCATGAGGGTGTATGTTTTACCAGAGCCTGACGCTCCATAAGTAAGGAGTGTAAAGTTATGACCTTCTGGTAATTTCCTTAAGTTATCCTTGACCACCTGTTCAAATATTTCCTGAAAATAATATGAAATAAATATATGTTAATTTATGTACAATTAAGAAGGTATGACGGTTAATTGTTTTTTCAGTACTGATTTCAATAGGATATATCGGAGCAACTAAAAACTACCTCACTGAATAAAAATAATTTGATTGATTTGAATTAGATTCTAATGGATTGTAACTGAAGTTTTGATAGTTAGTGTTAAGAAATAACCTGAAGAATCGTATTATCTAAACACAACATGTAAACACGTGCACGAACAATGCCTCCTACAAAAACGAGCCGCATTGTGTGTACTCTGTCATTCTCGCTCGAGCCGTCAGGCTGTACAGATCAGTGTACAGCTGTTGGTGAGACCCTAGAATACATCTTTAACTGTATTTACCATTGTCTTTAATTACTACTATACAGATTTCTGTACGAATGTTGGTAAGACCTTGGAATACATCTTTAATTGTATTTACTGTTGTTGTTATTTACTACAGCTTTTAAAAAGAAAAACCACAACAATCTAAAGAATCACTCTATTTAAAAAAACAACCCAGACATAGGTACTCCGTCAGACACTATTCTTGAGAAAATATTGGATAAGAACACTAGTTTATTATAAATTATATACCTGGGTTGTCGATATATCATTAAGTTAACTTAAAAGGTCACACGCACGAAAAGAAAGAAATTTTTAAAGTTATAAATCATGAGGAGTCATTTTTTAATATATCTCGAGTAAGTTGAAAGTTAAGTGATTTTCAATAATCAAATCATGCATACTGATTTATGAACATCTTTGTGAATGAAAAAAATAAAATAAACACTTTGGAACTTAAATAGAATAGTCAGACAGACAGATTTCATAAATTTTCTTTAATATTTAATCATTATAGATGTCAATAATATCCCACAGGCCAGGTGGAGTAACGATTTGCGCAAGAAAGCGAGAAGCCTAAATCGATCTAAGTGGCCTATGTCCAGCAGTGGACTATGATGATGATGATGATAGATATCAATTAGGCAAAGAATGAAGTAATTAAAAACATAAAAAAAAAAAAAAAAATACAGTCAAATTGAGAACCTCCTCCTTTTTTTGAAGTCGGTTAAAAAAAAGACCTGAGCATGAAAACAAATTATTCATCTTTGATACAATTGTTGATTTAAAATTCTTAGAACTTTACTAGTGGAATTAACTACGTTTGTAACTGACGATGGATTATCTACACATTTAAGTATCACTTCAGTGTAGTTATTTTTCTCAGAAAAAATATTGTTTTATACATACCTTTTGATTGCATGCTGGGCCGAATATTTTCGAGAATGTATACATTTTAGACACATTGTGCTGTGTGCGGCGACCATGGCCTGCAGTTGCGGTATCCAATGATGTTACGAGACATTTATCGGACCGAACCTCGTATAACGAATTTGGAATCTTACACGGTTTTAGACGAAGGTACACTTGCACCAATTCAGGCTCCTCAATTTCTGAATCCTCTTCAAATAACTCCAACAAATTAGTACCTTTCTGAGGCCTTGGTCGCATAAAAGGATTTTGTATTAGAGGAGGCCGTGGCTCAATAAAAGATGGTATATCACGTTTAGAGACATCATAATCTGAACTTCGTTGGTCTAGCATTCTTTAATAATTAGCTGTTCATTAAAATTACGTATAATACTCAGAATTGTGAAGTAACGAATAAAACAATCTACAACGGTTCAACTTTTAAAAATTAAATCATGTTTTTATTTTGCAATGTTGGCTATTCTGAAATCTACCACAGAGAGTCAAACACAGACTGTTACCTTTTTCAAAATATTTTTGATTGTATAAAACTTCAACTCAGTAGACACTGATAGAAAAAACTGTCACATTATTTTCACTGTTTTATGTGTATTTTATATATTTCAGCAGCATTTTTTTTGTAAATTTTGCCAAAAACCATCCATCTCGAGACAAGATTCGCTGATTGATATTAGTAGCATAAAAAGTTTATTATTTAATTGTTCTAAAAATTAATTAAATGAGGGCACATTTGTTTATTTTTTATCAAGCTGCGCTGCTAATTCATCTACAAATGTATAGTTTAAGATTTTAGTCAGTAATTGATACCGAATACCAAAGATAAAGAGAATACTATCAAGTGGAATTTTAATGACAAGTACTCTTTACTCATTCGTTCATATCTCATTCACTACTTAATCAATCAGTCAAATTTTATAAATGTCGGATGTGTATTGTGTATTGTTTTCAGTTGTTTATTTTTGTAACATATGCAACTAATAAATATTCAAAGAGAAATGTGGCAGATTTAGTTGAACATATCATCTATAAATGAACAAACATTTCATAATAAGGATAGTTGTGTGATGCCATTGATGATTGTAAAGAATTTGTGAAGATGCGATTATTTTTCGTATTTGGCGTTGTGCCATAGTTTAAATTGCCGTTTTATTGAGGATAGGCATCATGAAGGTCTCGGGGCTTATAATTTTATCATTTATTTTGGTGCAAGGAGTTTACTGTTACTGTCCGTCGTTGTGTACATGTAAAGGGAATAAGGCAGCTGAAGGGGCGTTAGCGGAGCCCCAGGCGGGCGAGCTGCTGCGCCTCAAGTGTGGTGGCAGCCCGGCACAGTTTACTGAACTCAAGGAGATAGACTTGACGAAGCTATGGACTACAGTAGTAAGCTTGTGAGTTTAATTGCTAATATTTAACTTTTTGTTACAACATTGTTACATTTATTCATTTAAAATGATTTACTTTTCAGAGATTTATCTGGAAATGCTATTTCGACATTGTCTAGAGAGCTGTACCTGCCTAATTTACAAAAACTGTAAGTAACTGTTTATTGGCATATTTAAATTCAGTCTTTTGATAAATCATGAACATGAGAGCTTTCACAATGTTTAGTTTATAATGTTCACACCTTTCACCAATTCAAGTAGAAGTGTTCTTAGACCAAAACAAACCACATACTTTGATTAGAATTGGACACAGGAAAATAAACAAAAGGAATGTACAGGAGGAAATCATATTGGAGTATAACTGAGTGAAATTTCTGTGATTTCAAATACTTAATTAATTACTAATATAAATTATAAAAAAAAAACAAAAGAAATTGAAGTAATAGAACAACAGGACATATTTGAACAGATTTCATGTTGTGAATTGTGGCTGCCACTATTCCTTCTAAGTCTAGAATGATTCTAATACAGGATACAAGGTCTGCGGCTTTTATTCTTTTATTAGGATTAAATGAAAATAAACAAATTTGTGGTATTATACTTAATACATTTGAAACTTCATGTTGTTATACTTAATAATAATAATTTTACACATCTAGCATGGCAGTCTGATTCCAAACCATTTAGAGTTATGTTTTATTATTGTAATTGTAACAAATTCTTGATTTGACTAGTATTATAGTGTAATCAGTATATTACAGACAGGTATTAACCTTACAGTGTTACTAACAACAGAACAATTAATATATAATTAAGTATGTTCATAGTGTAATGTATCTTAGTGACGTGACATATTAACCTATTAAATACTAAAGTCTTAGGGGTTAGAGTATGAAATTGCTGTTTTGTACTAAAAAAAATTGAAACTCATATCAAAATATTTACCCTCATTACCTATATATTGCTGCCATTTAAACGGAAGTTCATTTATGCCTTTACGATAGAAATTCGGGGATCTAGATTCAACAAACTACGTGACAGCATCTTGTACCGCGTTCTGGGAAGATTTTTTTTTGTCATGTACAAATCACGAAAAAAATGGTTGTCCATTGGAGCAAGGTCGGGCGAGTACGGGATGACGTATGGTATCTAACTGCAATTCCTGTACAACTGTACAGGAACTGCAGTTGTAAACTTACAACGGTTTGTCGTGCAGTGTGTTTATTGTGTTATCATGAAGCAATAATAGTGAAAATTGATTCACGAGTCAGGGCTGTTTCACTGCCAGTTTCGCCATCATTGTTAGAAGTTCAGCACAGTAAACATCTGCTGTTATTGCATGACCGGACCTGAGAAAACCAGTGAATAACACCATGAAGAGACCACCAAACAGTTACCATTAACTTTTTATTGGTAAGCTTTGCTTAGGGCACTGTTGCGGCATTTGACCTGGGTTTAGCCATTGCATTTTTTGCTTACGGTTATAGTAAACAATCCAGCTTTCGTCACATGTCACAATTCGATCCAATATTCCTTCATTTCTGTACCGATTCAACAAGGCAACATAAGTTTAAACATGCATTTCTTTTTCTCAGATCATCCAAATTATGAGGCACCTATTTTTCATATTTTTTCATTTTATTGATGTGATGCAAATGAGTCAATATTTTAGGTAGGGTAATGTTAAACTTAGCCGCTAATTCGTGGGTTGTTTGAATCGGATCGGCTTCCACCACCTCCTTTAATTCAGCGTTTTTCACCTGTGTGGGTTCAATTCAGCGTTTTTCACCTGTGTGGGCGATAAATGATGAATTCTTTAATACGAAAATAAAATAAAGTTGATTGGAACTGAATTGAAACTGACCTTTTAGTACGAGAATTGTCCTTTGTATTGCTGATAAACATATATAAATATTTGTAAATACATAAATATCATGTGCAAATAATACATAGACACAGAAGAAATTAACTTGCTTATCACAATTATTTTTATTGGTTGGGATTCAATCCCATGACCTAGACCTAAGCAGTCAGGGGCACTAATAACTAATCCAACAGGACAGGCTATAAATTTTCTCTGTGTGGTTCAGTTCAAAAGTTAAGTCTTTTTGGGTACATATTATAATATTTTGGTCCAACACCGCATTCTAACTTCTTTTCTTTAAATTAAAAACTTTTCAAAAGTTATACAAAAGGGTCCTTATAAAAAGGAATCTGTATTGTATTATCATGTTTGTATCTTAGTATCATATAGATAAAACTGGTAGATAAAAGCTACATGTGTGTTTTGTAAGTAAAGAGGAGAGTGCTGATAAGGTTTGGGGACAATTATTGTAAAAGTAGGGTGATGATAAGTAAATTATTAGCATTGTATGAATAAAGTGTGTGATAAAACAGAGTACAAGGCTTTGTTTGTGTCATTGTGCTATAATAATATATTTTGTTACTTTTAATTCAAAATAATGAACAGACTGCATCATAGGATAGTAACTAACTGTCCTTTGTAATACTTCTCCATAAAGCAAAGAATAAAAAAACCCGGCCAGGTAGGAGTCGAACTCGCGCGCTGAGGGTGCCTACCTACCCAGATTTTACGTAGATTTTCGCGTAAATTTGTAAGTACCAAAATTTGTCTTAGTTTTCAACTTTTTTTATTTTTTGGAATTATTCCTTAATTTGTGCTGTAAGACGTTTCTTTTTGCCAAATTTCGTGATTCTAGATCAACAGTATAGGTTTTCGACCCAAAACCTATAGGCTACTTCCGGTTGACCTTGAATTGTCAATTTTGGTTAAAAGCAAGATCTTACAGCACAAGTAAAGGGAAAATTCTTAAAAATAAAAAAAGTTGAAAATTAAGGTAAATTTTGGTACTTACAAGTTGCCGCGAAAATCGAAATTTGCCCATCTCTTTTTATCGTGTTGATTCAGGACCTTGATTTTTATACACCTAATAGGGACCATAGACCTCAGCATCTGGTATAAATTTCAACTTGCTAGGTCTACGCGTTCCTAAGAAAATCGGTGGTGTCACCACAATGGACAACAGACAGAATGATTTTTACCTTTTGAGGTACGGAACCCTAAAAACAATGGCAATTGTTAGAGGAGGCCTTTTCCAGAAGGCCCACTGAACTCCAGGACATTTTATAGAAACAAAAGAAAGATGTAGTACTAAATACGTAATAAGGAGTTTCAGGATATAAAATCTATATTATATTATAACTAAGTCGACATTTTTTTTCTATCATTCCTATCATTCCGGCACTAGTAAACCCTAGAGTAAAACTCTTGTGGTTTGTTTTAATGAGTCTAATAAATTGGTGTTGGTAACAATGCCAAGAGTGGTGACATGATGTGAAGTGCTGTAGAGTAGGTTTCTTTTTTATGAATAGGTGAGCAGACAAGTGCTATATAGTTAGTTATATATAGTTTGCCTGATCCTAGGCAGTTACATGTGTCTATGGTTATATAGCAAGCGGAAATGTCTATGGTTATATAGCAAGCGGAAATGTACCATATAGTCTCATTTTTACTTGAAAAAGGTTTTAATTTATTACCTTATTCAGCCAGTTGGCCCATACATTATTTATGGATATGCTTAGTTTGGGTCTAGATACAATAGAGTATTAATATTATTATTTTAATTTTGTCAATGGATTATATATTAATGTCTAGAAAATATGCTGTTTTTTAATTGAATTTAGCTGTACCACCCATCATTTAGATTTAACCACATTTTTAACAGGGATTTAAGCAGAAACCAGATATCTTTAATAGAGTCTGATGCGTTCTACAACATGACATCAATCCAGCGGCTAGACCTGTCGCATAATCAAATCAGCAATGTGTACAAGGAGATGTTTAAGGGGCTCACAAACTTGGAGAGGTTGATTTTGTCACACAATCACATATCTGCCATGTCTGCTGGGACTTTTGACCATCTTGTTGGACTAAAGCAATTGTAAGTATATTTATTCATCCTTGACAACATTCATTTTCTTCTAGTTAACCAATAAGTAACTTAAGTCATTTACGGTTTTAACTTTTCTGATTACCGAGTAGCATTCGATAATAGTGAGTTGGTGGTGGATTATACAGGCTATATATGTGTTATTATTTTATTATGTATTATTATACAGATTATATATGTACCCCACATGTCTGTATCAAAAAATTAAATTCAAGTGTGCATATGTAATTTCCATTTAATATCTTTTTTCTAAATGTATTTTAATGTTTGCGTGCTATATGTACTAAAAAGTAATTTAAGAATAGAAGTTAATCAAATATTGAACGGTTTTTGTATCATATCCTAATGACGATGATGAATAATCAATATCATCCTCATCATTATCAGATGATCACGATGATCAAGCTGTTTCAAAATTATAAAAACAAGTATGCATGTCTTCTTTAATCACATCAACAGCCTTTAATAGTCCACTGCTGGACATAGGCCTCTCCTTAGAAAGGAGGTTTTGGCCTACTATACCACGCTGGCCCGACGGGTTGGCATAGGGTTTGTGTCAGGTTTTCCTTCTCTCTGCAGTGCTGTTGTTCTGCGTAGTTTTTTCCCTTAGTCGGCTCTTACGACACCCACGGGATGAATAAGGGTGGTGACATTGTATTCTTAATCCGTCACCACACGGACCCATTAATCATTTCATTTCAATTCATAACAAAATTCTTTGAGTTGAAATATAAGTAATCATGCATTTAACAGTTCAGTTCTATAAGATCAGTTATTCATGTATTTGCAGTTATTCAGTCATGTATTTGCATTATCCTAATAGTACTCCTTTTACTTCTAAATATGCTTTTTCTTACGTAACAGGGATATAACAGACAACCCTTTGGTTTGCGATTGCGATCTTCTCTGGGTCGGTGATTGGTCTCGAAACACAAGCGTCAAACTAGTCGGGACCCCAAAATGCGCCTTCCCAGAAAACCTGGTCAACAAAAGCGTCAGAAAACTCAAGATCTTCCTCGATTTATCTGCCTGCGGGAGTGTTCTCTCATCAAACACTTTAATAGTAAAACCATCACATGACCAAGTTGTTTTCGTAGGAGACACCCTCACCCTATCTTGTAACGCACCCTTTGCGTCAGTGATGGCAAAGTACGAACTAAGATGGGTCCATCCAATGCTTGAAATATGTGTCGTGAATATCACAAACACGGACATGCAAGAAGAAGGCCTCGCTGAGACTACGATACATTTTCCAAATATAACACAGCATGACATGGGAAATTGGACTTGCATGTACAGTGATCAAAATCATATAAGGCATAATCACACCGTTGAAATACTGGTTTTATCAAATAATACAAAATATTGTAACACAACATATGCAGTGAATAATAAAGGGTTGTACTCATGGCCTCAATTGTTGGTGAATCACACAGCAACAGTGCCATGTAGAAGCGGTGAAGGATTTGCCCGGCGATTCTGTTATTTGCAAGATGGGAATGCAACGTGGAGTCAACCGGATACCAATGAATGTTCATACATAAGTAATGTGACTAAATTGCTTCAACAGTTTGCGCTATTGAATGTAAGTTTGGTTCAGTATTCTGCTGTGAATGCTACTGAAAGACTTGCCATGCTGATACAAGAGAAAACTTATCCGTTGGCTGAGATTGTTGATCCGGATGATGTCATGTTTATATCCAAAGCTATACGGAATTATATGCAGTACATTGCTGATGAAAAAGCCTTGGGTAAGTATTTATTTCAAAATAAGTAAGCGTACACACCATTCAGGGGGAGGGAGATTTGTAAAATTGGGAGTACGGGAGGGAAATGATGATGACTTTCTTTGTTAATAATAAGAGAATACCGAAATAATCGTCTTTAGATATTTGTAAAGAAATGTAGTCACTTTTTAAATGATGACCTACTTGTAAACAGAGTTGAAAGAAGTTATTCGAACTATTTTTATTATGATTCTTATGACTGAACAATTTTGTCTATTTTTATTGACGTAGTTCTCTTTGATGTGTAGTTTATGCTCGATTTCAAGATTTATACATATTACAGAAATAGCACAGCAGTAAAAATTTCCCTCGAGCTTATCTGCTCGAAATCACTTCCACAGAGGTATTGCACGGATTGCGTAGTGGTATAAGCTACTTCATACTACGCTGAGTGTTGTGGGTTCGATGCCCACATGGGACGTCACTTTGTGTGATCCGCAAATTGTCGCTCTGAGTCTGGGTGTTCTCTGTGTCCTTTTGATGTATATTTGTAAAGTCCCCCGCGACACAGGATGCGTTCCTAGTGCGGGAGTTGTCTTTTTAAACAATTAAATTATTTCGTGAAAAGAAACGGAGGTTCTAGTACTCATAGTACGAGCAATGAACAAAAATATTGTCCAGCAAACTGACATTATTAAAATACTACATAGTTACCCCGTCAGACTTCGTTATGTCAAAATTTGTTGGTCTGTCGTAGTCCAATAGAAAAAATAAAACGTATTTCAGAGTGGTCACTTTTATTCGAACCATAGAGATATAAAAAAGAATAGAGCACGCAAGGGAAGCCTCATCGTGTCTCACTTTGCGAGAGAGATCGTTGCTCTCTTTCTTAATTTCTTAATGTCACGTTAATCATAATCATTCAGTGAAAGAGAGATAGAGAGGGCGTCTGCGTGCAGCAATCTCTCTCGCACCATGGGACACCTCTAAGCATTGGGTTAGGCTGGATAGGCGCCCTCTATTCTTATATCTCAATGATTCGTATTTAAAATTGGGCAGCCATATATTAATATCCATACAGCCTAATCAACTTGGAGGCATACCAAAGATAATCTTAAACTTACTTTGTTTTAATTGACGTAAAATGTTTGACAGACAGGTGTTTTAATTGCCTCTGTGGATTGTATGGGAAAAGAAAAGTGTTATTATTACTATTTTCCTCGTAATTTTGACGTTGTTTTAAGTCGTTCTTAAATTAGTCGAATTGGTCCAGCCGTTATCGAGTTTTGAGCTTAGTAACACAATTAGCGATTTATTTTTTATTTACATATTCTTTATTTTTTAAATATTTTGGACATCTAACACAAAACGCTATCTAGTTTCAAACTAAGCGGAGCTTGTAACATGACAGCTAGATTGACTGATAGAATACTTACATACTTTTTTTTTGTAAATATATACATATTATACAGAAAACACCCAAACTCTGAAACAAATGTTTGCAGATCATACAAACATTTGGTCCGACCCGAGAATCAAACCCGAGACCTCAGCACAGCAGTCGCATACGCTACCTACTGCACCAACGAGGCAGTCGAATATAGATAAAGTACTCTCAATATAAATATTAAATTATAATAATACTAATTATTTCCCGTAGGCCCCGCATTATTGGACGTGATAAGCTCCACGATGAACATAAGCATGCCAGTTCTGTCTCGTGCTGAATCTATGTACGGCGCCTGCACGGATATGGTGCAGGCTGCTGAAGAAATATCCGCTCATATTGCTAATATACACGGACAAAAGGTAAGATCTGTAAGATATGTACAAAAATATATATTAAGTTATAATTTAGTAAAATCAACGTAATGAACAAAAATACAACTTTTAACAATCATGTTAAAAAAAAATATGAATGTCAGATTCGGCTGCACACAAGTGTACAAGTTAAACACACACGTTACTAAAAAGTTAAAGGTGGCGCCTATAAAAAAAAAAACGTAACGAAGTCATTCGATCACTAATTTTTACTCTTCATATTTTTTTCATACCGTTCGTTTTATATGAAAATCATAATTATAAAATGATGATGATATGATAATCATCAAAGGGGTAAACTCCAAAAACAAAAAAAAAAGTTCTTTAGAAAAAAAAACAGCACTTCCTGTAGCCTCTTTAGAGATCAACCTCTATGGCTATATGGCTTGGGGGTGACCGTGTAGCTGTCCGTTAGCAGGCCAGAGATGACGTTGAGAGGAGTTCCTTTCTAAACCCAAAAGAGACAAAGACAGTCGGCGGAACTCTACAGTTCCACACACTGCAGTACGCCTACGCGTAACAACACGGGTGTGTGTAACCCAACTTGTGGCCTTTCGAGCCGCGTTTGAATGTTTGGCATTACATGGCTTTCTCCTATTATTTAACTACCCAAATTAGATTTCAGCGGACAATTTATAGTTCGGTTATAAAATAGTGTTCGTACTTTGTCAGTCGAAGCTAGCCGTGGAGCGGTTCCGCGTGTCGGAGGGGTTCAGCGGCACCACGTGCGTGTGGTACAGCGTGAGCCGCGGCGCGGCCCCGCGCCTGCACTGCACCACCACCAACCGCACCGTGGCGCCGCTGCTCACCGTCACCGACGCCTACATACACGCCAGCGTGCAGGTAACGCTTAACACTAACTAACTTTCGACCCCGACTTTGCTAGGGTAGGGTCCTGTGTGAAAACCGTAACCTCACTGCAAACCGGTGTTAACTAATTCGTTCATTATTATTTCATTAACCCTACCTCCCTTCTCATTCTGAGATACTCAAAGGCTGGCAACTATAGTAGTCAATTAAAGCAGGGATTCCCAAAGTGGTCGATATCGACCCCCCCTCTCCCCTCTTTGGTACTTGCGAAGGGCCCTCGACCGATGGGGTCTTCTAATTCCTGCCAGATCACCAATCGATAATTCAAAATATAATCGGTATTTATTATTGAAATTATTTGAAAAATGTTTTCCATTTGCTCCACCGCCACCACCATAAAAAATACTGTCAATGAATTTGAGTAACCCTTGAGAAGAAAAAATCCTATACCTTTCTGTACCTATTATTAGTTTTAAAGTTATCTTCAACATTAATACTTACCTATTTTAGTACCCATTTACATATCTAATTATTATTATCATTATAATTTCTAAGCCAAACATGTTAAAAATCAATCCCATGTTTCACCTTCCAGATACCGCAATCCTTACTCTACAGCTCCACAGACTCCGGTGTATTACTCCAGAGTCACCCACACGACCTGGTGATATCAGTGTACGAGGACGCGTCTCTGTTCCCTTTGCTGCCAGTGATGGACAACGACCGGCTGACTGGTCACAGGACCAAGGATTACTACGGCAGGAGTACGAAGAGAGAAGACATGAATATGGAAATAACGTCACCCGTTGTTGGATTTCAGTTGAGTAAGTATTTTCATCATCATGGGGTGCCATCCTCAAAATGAAGTTTGGAGGTCAGCAGACGGTACACCCCTCGATCATGAGCGGCCTCCTTTAGTTGGCGATATCGCAGTCCGGTCCAGGCCACGATGTCATCTATCCACTTCCTTCGTGGTCGACCTGGTGTCCTCCTGCCTGGTATTTTTCCTTCTAACAGAAGCCTCAGGAATTTATGTTGCGGGCCCCTTTGTATGTGTCCAAAGAAGGCCACCTTCCTTTTCGCTATAACAGCCATCAGTTCTCTCCTGCACTTGGCTCGCTCCAGCACCTCTACGTTGGATGTAAATGTATTTTAATACGTATAAAATGTTGGGAATAAAAGGGATGCTGCATATCCAACTACCAAATAATATGAAACGTTACACACCCTTAGAAAATACTTCAATTTGGTCCTAAGGCAACAGTAGGCAACAGACGATTTCAAATAAGTTTTAAAACTTTATGAAATAAAGAGTTTGAGTAAACTATGGCAACTTCCACATACAGTGAAACAATAACATACTACTGCGCCATCTAACAAAGACACACCGAACTATGGAGTAACTACTAATCCCGAAACACGCAAGGCCGATTAGTAAATAATTTCGAATCGACTGAATATTCTTTATGTCTGTTTGTAAAGACCCCCGCGACACGGGATATATTCCTAGTGCGGGAGTTGTCTTTTTCAAGAGAGACAATCTTAAACTGTTGGGCCGTAGCCCTGTCCGCAGGTCCTCCCTTGGTGTTGAAGGGCCATGATAACCATTTTTCCACAAGCTTACCAAAAAATCAACTAAAAATTGGATTACATTTCAATTTCCGCTTGTAAATTAATGAAAACGCCTTGTGTTATGACGGTATATCGATAGTTAAATTATTGTAATTTTTCTTAGTTTATGATTGGTTACTATCCTTATGTTTAGTAATGGAAACAGAATAATACATTCTACATATAATAGATAATTCATAGCAAAAAGAAATGGCATGTATCTTGTTCTTGGTAGATTTGTATAATACTTTCTGCTTGCACAAAAATGAGCACTTCGAGAGCCTGCTCTAAAATTTGTCAGTACCTACTGCTTTCACCCTTGAGCGATTTTCGCCTAACTTAGGTGACGACGATGGCTATATACATTGGGTTATCTGGTAAATAGGATTGCACGGTATACTAGTGTGGTCGGAGATTCTGACCATATATAGGATCGGATGTGTCCCAAATTATAAATAATATTAATAAATTAACATCTTCAATTTTTTTTTTATTGAAGATGTTAATTTTTATTAAAAATCTCGGATCGGGTGTAGATAACCTTGTTTCACCGATAAAATCGTGTGTTGCAGAGAACGTGTCTTTGCGAGGCGCCCTGTTGGAGCCCATCATAGCGACGGTGCGCGCGCGATCTGTGGGGGGAGTGGAGGGGCGCGCCGCGCTCTGGGACCCGCGCACGCGCAGCTGGCAGGACAACTCGACAGGTACGTGCTCTGTACATAGCGAGGGGGGGGAGTGGAGGGGCGCGCCGCGCTCTGGGACCCGCGCACGCGCAGCTGGCAGGACAACTCGACAGGTACGTGCTCTGTACATAGCGAGGGGGGGGGAGTGGAGGGGCGCGCCGCGCTCTGGGACCCGCGCACGCGCAGCTGGCAGGACAACTCGACAGGTACGTGCTCTGTACATAGCGAGGGGGGGGAGTGGAGGGGCGCGCCGCGCTCTGGGACCCGCGCACGCGCAGCTGGCAGGACAACTCGACAGGTACGTGCTCTGTACATATCGAGGGGGGGGAGTGGAGGGGCGCGCCGCGCTCTGGGACCCGCGCACGCGCAGCTGGCAGGACAACTCGACAGGTACGTGCTCTGTACATAGCGAGGGGGGGGAGTGGAGGGGCGCGCCGCGCTCTGGGACCCGCGCACGCGCAGCTGGCAGGACAACTCGACAGGTACGTGCTCTGTACATAGCGAGGGGGGGGAGTGGAGGGGCGCGCCGCGCTCTGGGACCCGCGCACGCGCAGCTGGCAGGACAACTCGACAGGTACGTGCTCTGTACATAGCGATGGGGGGGAGTGGAGGGGCGCGCCGCGCTCTGGGACCCGCGCACGCGCAGCTGGCAGGACAACTCGACAGGTACGTGCTCTGTACATACCGTTGGATGGGAGTGGAGGGGCGCGCCGCGCTCTGGGACCCGCGCACGCGCAGCTGGCAGGACAACTCGACAGGTACGTGCTCTGTACATAGCGAGGGGGGGGAATGGAGGGGCGCGCCGCGCTCTGGGACCCGCGCACGCGCAGCTGGCAGGACAACTCGACAGGTACGTGCTCTGTACATAGCGAGGGGGGCGGGAGTGGAGGGGCGCGCCGCGCTCTAGGACCCGCGCACGCGCAGCTGGCAGGACAAGTCCACAGGTAATGCGAACGCGCGATTTAAAAGGGTTATTTTCCATTCAATTTTGGATATCGCCGCGACAAACAAATCCTTGCGAAGTAAGAATCCCGAAAAAGGAAATTAAGCTATTTGGTCCATATGTTTTTAATACTTATTTCGCTACCTACCTAGTCACAATTTTTTTTTAAATTTTAGCTTTTCAAAATATATGTTTAAAAAAAAATTGATGCTAACATTTTTCACTTAGTCGTCCAAAAATTGAGAAAGAAGTATTTTTTTTTGTTTCTTGAATTTCTGTGATTAGTATACGTGATGTTAATAAACGGAAACTGATTTGACTTAACGGTCATCTTCATCTATCAAATCTACTCGACTTCGATTTCTAAATCTGTCCTAATTATTTATAATTTCCTTTGCAGACTGCAAAATATCGCACGTGATATCAGAAATGATTATCATGAGCTGTTCACGGCTGGCCTACGTGGGACTTCTTCAAAGCGTCGAAACTGGCATTTACGGCGCCAGGACCGATGGCGCAAGGTTCAAGGTATCCCACCCGGCCGTCTATGTAGGCAGTTTGATCCTCATCGGATGCGTCAGCTGCGCCACACTGACATACATCATGTGTTATCCAGCCATCCAAATGGCGAAGAAAACTAAACACGCATTGATTAATACTTGGATAGCAATTGGATTACTATGTTTTTTGTATACTTTGGGGATTTATCAAACAGAAGATGTGAAGTTGTGTCAAATTTTGGGATTGCTCATACATTATTTGTCTTTGTCTTGTCTGTTATGGATGTGTGTGTCTGCAAGTAATATGTACAAGTGGGTGACGAAGACCCACAACCCAGTCAGAACTCCGGAAGAAGAAATACCACCGGATGTGCCAGTCCAGAAACCTATATTAGGTTTGTATTTAGTTGGATGGGGCATAGCTCTTATCGTTTGTGGAATATCTGGTGCAGTTAATTTAAAAGACTATGCGGGCTATTCGCAATGTTTTCTCAGTACGGCGCCAGCTTTGAGTGCTTTGTTCGTCCCCGGCGGGATTTTATTGATATTTTTATTAATATTGTTCTTGTTAATACGTTGTACGATAAGAAATATGAACGTCCAGTTGTCTGAAGGTACTCAAGCCACTGAGAATGTTGATCTAGAGATGTGGGAGCCACAAAGTAACGATAGGGCGGAGAGGCGCAGTGTGAAGTCGACTTTAGATTCTGAAGTTGAGGATATAGAACATACTCCGATTATCCAATTGAGAGCACAAGTTATTGTCATGTGTTTATACATGTCGGTGTGGTCTTGTGGAGCTATTGCAGTATACAGGCCGTTACCTGCATATTTGCCGTATCAGGAAGATATTTGTAGTATTATATATGCTGTATGCGCAACAGTATTAGGTACCTTTATTCTGTTCTTTTACGGCATCGCAAGATCTGACGTCAGAGCTCAATGGTCGATGATGCACTGTTATTTACAGAAGAGTAAACAGTGCTGCAGGAATCGAAGCGTTTTCGATGCCAACCAGCAGAATCTGCCGTCTAATCAAACTGCTCAACCCCCTATATCGTCGATACCTAATGATAATAGATCAATGTCTGGCAGCCGAAGTTCAAACAGAACCAATTCCAAAACTAACAACAGTGGTACTTACAAAGCGGCAGCTGAACTAAACGGTCAGACTTTACAGAAAGATAGCGTCAAAAATACAAATGGAAAGACTCCAAACATTAATCTAGTTGTGTTACATAGACAGCAATACAGGTCTAACAATTCCATGATGACGTACCCTGACACTGGAACCATTGGACCAGAGGTCTTCTATAACCCGAATCAGATGAATGTAGCCAAGAAGTTCTTTAAGAAACAGAGACAGAATATGAAGAGAAATTTTCTAGAACTGCCTACAAGAAGAGACTGCGATAATGACTCACACTTCTCACTTCCATTGCCGACGAAAGAGGCATATAATGGTGTGGCCAATATAATAAATTCAGGATCAAAAGTTAATAATACAAACATACATGTTGAAAGATCAAACAACGGTATAAAAGAAACAAGGAACGTTTTAAATCCTAATCTTTTAGAAGATGACACAAAAGAAAATTACAAAAACTATTCCACAGATCGTAAATCTTGGAATAAAAATGAAGTTCCAAAGAATAGGACGCAAGTTATGAATATTTACACAAATGTTCCAGAGACTTTAGTGCCTCAACACCAAGTTATGAAAGCCAATGCGCCGAAAAACTTCAACGGGCAACGTTCTAGTGTGTCCGAGGAATGCCTCCAAAGCCATGCGAGCGAACAGCCAGAGATGAGAACTATATCGCAACAATGCAGCTTAGAATACAGTTCTGCCTCGGAAATCGCCATGCCCAACACATGTTCCGATCAAACTCTGAACACGCATTCTGAAATGACATCCTTTCAAGAGACACATAGTGCCTTATGTTCCACAAATGAAATCACAGATACAGAAAGCTTCGGCCAATACATAGATTATATGCAACCAAATAAAGAAAAAGAAAATGCAATTGACAAGTCACTTCAAGACATTTCTGAAGAATGTACGATGAACAGTGATGACATCAACAGATCTAGTACTCCACATCACATAGAGGATTCTGGAGAAAGGGATAATTTACTCCAAAACCAGGATATAGGCGACTGCAAAGAAAAAATTGATGATGATAAAGATACTTTCTTTATGGCAAAAACGACGTATGATTTCGAGACATGCAGTACGAATGCTAGCGAACAAGGCTTTGAAAACGAAAGCGATATATACTGTCCAAATTATCAAATGTCTGAAGTCAGCATTCGGAGTCATGGGCTATACGCTCCATCACCATCATCCATGTGTCCGAACGAAATTAGTTTCAGTAACGAGGATGTGTCAAATATGGAGAGCCAGTACGTCAACTACGACCCTGGATGGCGGAAGACAATAAAGAGCAATCCAAAATTAGGCAAATATGTTCCAACACCGGCGTTAAGCTGTCCGGAGGTGAACAGAGACAGTAGTCCTGTCTCTTTCGCGAGTGAGATAGACGAGTTGTATACTCAGATAACGAGGAGAGAGAGTGACAGGGAAAGAACGCCGAGGAAAGAGACGGGGCTAGATGTGACGTTGAACAGTGACGTAACTTTGAAGCCTGACAGTGACAGTTGTGTGAGCGAAGCTGTGTCTGACGTGGACGTTAAAGGCGAAACTACAGTGTAGCTGTCCGTGACTCTAGTGGAACTTGATGGACGCATAAAATGGCGCTTTTTTATACTTATAGTACTGTTTTTTAGGTAAATTTCTTCCTTATAGTGTTTTGGAGTAATTTACGCGGAGTGTTGTTCTGTTGGTATTGTTGAGAAGCTTGCAAGTCTAAGAAAGAAAGGTTATTCATATCTATTATATTTTCTCGTAAATATAGTATTTCTCTTTACGATAATTGTGAAATGTGTTCATTTTATAATAATTTGCTGTTTCCATGTATTTAGGATACCGTGGAAATCTTACATAAGTCTATCCACTTAAGAATCTTTTTTAAAGTTCTGTGAAGTTTACAAAGAATAAAAATGTAAAATAATAATTAGAATTAAAATGAATATGTGCATCAGTTGTCGTGTTCAAAAAACAATGTTTTTATTTAATATCAAAATTATTGTGAGCTAAATGTTGCCGTAGAACAACTCGAAATGACTGAATTTTATAAATTACTATGTTTAAGATATTCTGTTAGTGCCATTTAAGGGTTGGACCCCACAAACTATGCAAAATATGCATGTTAATTTGGTTTGTCAGGAATACTGATTGTATTAAATTTATAAATTCTTTACATAGTATTTGCCTTCACATTTAGTCCGACACTTGTGCTGTAACTCTTGAGCTGCCGGAGTCTATGAGTGGCGGTTGTCACTTACCATGAGGTGACCCCTGACCCGACAAGCGAGTACGCTTGTTCCCTATGCGAAAAAAAAAGTATGTGTCAGCTCCGACGCACGATTGCAGTTTACCCGTTAAGAACAATTCAACTGCACACAAGTATACAAGTTATACACACACATGTGAACGGTGCGTAGATAGATTGTGCACAAAAACGAACGAACGAGGTCATTCGATCACTAAATTTTACTCTTCATTTTTTTTCATATATGAAATACATGTGCTTATATGAAAATCTATTCTTAAGGAGTAAACTCCATAAAACCCAGATTGACTATTACCTAATCATAATTCAACTGCTTTAGTGACTAGTTAGCACAATACGCGACAGTATGCGTCACTAAAAAGCCTCGCGGAGTCCAATCTTAACATTTATTATAGGAGTGATGTTTATATATTATTATTTAACTTTTTGTCTTCACTGACACTGGGTTTTTCTTATATTTTTTTAAACACATTCATATTAAGTATGATGATGATTGCACAGCTATACAACTGAATAGTTATTTTAAACATTTCCAACCAAAAATGTCTGTAGATTTTCTTTCTTAGCAATTAAATTGTATATTTTACTTGTATAGCTATTTATTATTAAGTTTTAAAACAGTCTGAATAGAAAATAATGCTTATGTGTTGAGTAAAAGCTGCTTGAGTTACTAAAATACGTAAATTTAACAATATTTTGTTAAGTATGTCCAGAAACTGCTTTTGTTTGATATATAGAGTTAATTATTTCAAAATTTACTAAAATAAGTCTTCACTAAAAGAGTGTAATAGCAATGTAACTGTTTCTTCTTTTTGTGATTCTTTAGTCCTCGAGACTAGAGAAGTTGTCGTCTTCAAGAGTCTAAAGGAACTACGTAGTCTTTAGACTATATATTAACGTTTTACTTGATCATTCAAAATCTTTAATAACATCTATGTTAATACAGAGAGATAATGATGGAAATCATAAAACATAGAAAAGTAGGATGTCAGTCTTACGTAAATGTGACGTCTTGTCATCTTATGAAAAATTGATCTGTCTAATATAAAAGGAATAACTCGAATATGAATAGTAGTTCCTGAGAATAGCATGTTAATTAAAAAAAAAAACTATTCGGCTTCCTTGTTGCAGGTAAGAATGATATCCTAATGGGACTGTAGTTTGTTTTTTATTTTTTATTAACAATATAGAGGCAGTTGAAAACCTACAATGTTCTTGTGTTAAACTTTACCTGAAATTACAGACAATGTGCCAAAATTAACAATAAATAAGTTACGTAACGAAATTACCTGCGTTACTATTTCTAGTGTGTATAAAGTCTATGAGATGAATTGGAATTTGTGAACTAATTTCATTTTTATATCCATTGACCTGCTAATACATGGGCTTTACCATAAACAAGACATTTTAGAAGAGAAGCGTGCCAGCCTTTTCCTGATTGATGGATTGTCAACCCGTCTACAAAACCGTTACATGTTACATAAATTGTTGTAGTAAAATAACAAAAAAATATTAATTTTTATAAAATAAATAATTACTAAACTTAAGTAATATTTTAAATAAAAATACTTGTAATTTTGTGAAAACGGAGATCAATCAACAAACCCCATCACATTCGATTTGATGTCATGTTTTGATAAAAAGGGTTACAAGCAATAGTATGCTGTAATACAACGTGGTAAAACTTAATATACGATAGTATTGTAAAAAAAACCTTCGTCTAACAGTATACAGTTTTATTTTATTAATGGTTGTTTACTTAACATGTACCAGGTATTGTTAGGTCAATGATGAAATTCTATAGTTAAATAAATTTTATTTAAAATTTCATCATCATCAAAATTATCATCATTTCATGAACTTTACACGTGTTTTATTAACATATTAATTAAAAATATAGTCGAGATTGAGTCTTAAGATACAGAAAAATGTGGTCGTATTCCAGGATCGTACAGAAGACCGTCAAGTAACGCTGAAAATTTGTGATCTTTAATACAAAAATAACGTTTTAACATTCAGAAATTCAATAAAAAATTTACTGATAAAGCTAGTATTTTGTATGAGATTTTAATAATAATAGTTACTGGAAGGTCCAGATACCTAGGTAAATGTTTAAAAATTTACTTGAAAATGCATATATATATGTTATTTTAAAATTAACGTTTTCCGAATAATTCAATTAAACCTAAATAAACTATTTATTTTTTCAATTAACGGTTCTAAAATTTGATCACACCTTACTGTCATAGCAGCTATCATCATCTGAAGCCAGTATGTCATCCAATATCAAACCACCTCATTTTTGTATAAGATTTATTAAATTATAATAAATAAGTTCAGCTTAGAAATGATCTGTGCCTATTAGATGTGTGGCCTAAGTATGTTTTGGCTTTTCTGTAGTAGTGACCAATAAGATTGCGTTGGGATTAGTAGCACAGAAGAAAAATGTTGTACAGAAGTAGATTTTATACGTTTATTTGTTGTAAGATTAGTCGTTTTTTTATTTTGTATAAATATGTGTAATATTAGATATCCTTTACAAACGTCGAGCTTTAGAATTGTAATCTATTTTCTTCCAGTTTGGAAATCTGTCCAGTTGATAGTGGGTAGGTATTAAAAAACAGAGAACGAGATGTTTTAAGCTAGGGAAAAAATGAAAATCAACCATCTGAAGTATCTAATTAAAGCAAAACTGTTGTAACTTTATAGTAAATAAGTTATAATGTTTGATATTTTAAACCTAAAATTCAAATTTAACATTGACATTTTAAAGTAAATCGTTTCTTTACTGATTTATAGAATAATGGACAGATGGGGGAAGGTTGTGGTTAGAGCTGCCATTCATATTAATAATTGTTCTCGCATTTGCCGGATACAAGGATAACCCAGCAATCTTAAAGCCGGTTAACCGGATATGGTACCGCCAAGTATCCAGCCGCTTATTTTATCGATTGCCTTTTTAGTGTATGATTTAGGAGACGAGGGGGGGATCATGCCCCTATGACCTTCCTTCTCCCTCTGGCCTGCGTGCCCACGTATATCTTATTTGTTAAGACTAATGAAATTATATGTAATTGTGTAGTATAATTCTTTTAAAGCTAATGTGATATAAATCTTCCTTGATTGGGGCGCAGTTGAATGCGTCCAGTTAGTTGTAGATGGCTCTATATATTATATTATATGAGATTTGTGAATATTATATATTGATAGTGGAAATCTATGGATGGTTAGCTTTTGTGGAGCATATTGCGTATTAAAGAGGCGTTTGCAATTGTTCGTGTTTTATTTTTATCTGTTTAACTTACATTTGAAATGTTAAATAATGGCCGTTTCTTTCAGACAGCAGCAAGTGAAACTATACAGGCTGTTACAAAAAGGTATTTTGATATTTTAGGGTAGTGTCGTAAATAAAGTGAAGTGTTTATAATTTTGTTTGAATTCTTAATTTTATTACATAAATCTTCGTGTGAGAGTTGACATTAATGTAACTATGGGAGTTTAACACTAAGGATGAAGCTTAGATGACTTGATTTTTTTTAAATGTCTGCAAAAGAACTAAATCATTGAAATTGATTTAAATAATAATTAAATTAAAACCATACAAGAAAATTTTTCACAAACATTCAAAATCCATATTTTAAGTTAAAATGTTGACTTACTAAAAAATTACAAAAGAGTTTTTCAAGTTAAATTAATTCTTTTTTTAAGTAAGATTAACTATGTACCAGCTACATAAAACCAAAACTTTTAGTCACACAGGATAATAACATGGTTAAAATAAAAAAAAGAACACGAGAAATATTATGTTCAATTGTTTTAATAAACAAAGAAGAAATATAAAAATTATAAATTCGACAAAAATATACAAATTTAACACACACAAACATACGATACACATGCCACACAAACACTCAAATACCTATTAGTAATATATTCTTACATTCACTATCAAAATAAAATTTAACATGCCTTCTCTATGTTATTATAAAAATCTAAATGTAATTATATAACACAATATTTGTTCGTTTTGGTCAATGATCTTTGAAATTACTTAACCGAGTTTCATAATTCATTCATCATTCATTCATTTTACTTATTTATACATGGCAACACAGGCAAAGTTGAGTCATAGCTAGTTCATCTATATACTGTAGTGGATTCTACATGCTTTCGTACAGAATTAGATGCAGAAATAATATTAAATATAGCGAATATAATTACCACAAAGTAACGAGGTAAAAGAACATTACTTATCATCTTAAGATTTATGTACAAGTAGAAAAAAAATTTACATAGCTGT